CAGGATTTCAGAGGAGACTTTTTCAAATCCCATAGTTGCCACTTCTTTAAAGTCATGGGATAATCATCTATCAAACAATTTTACAATAAATGTCAAGTTTTCAATCTGTGTTATTTTTCTTATGTCTGTGGGATTAATGACACCCAAAAGCACTACTGTGTATTCATTCCATTTTAAAGTCTGGAAGATGAAAATAATTTTCATCTCCCATTATTTCTAAGTTGGCAATGTGACCCAGTCTCTCCATGTCCCTGAATTTTACTACTTATCAAAGCTTTGGCTTTTAAATACTTACGGTCTTATAAATTTATTTTAAATAATAACTCATTAATTCAGTTAACATATAAAATGGTTATTAGAAGCTTACTGTTGTAAAATGATCGGCTATGGTGCCTGTTCACATTGCTATTGACTATGCATGGTCTGCTCCTTCAGAGGGGTAAACCCCCATTCCCAGGTGAATTCAGGCCACACCCATTATTTTAATGGCAGAGGTTCTAACCTCAGTGGATGCTGATCAAAATGAAAAAAAAATCAAGACTTGCATTTCTTTCCAATGTGAGGCTAGAACAGTTACCAGAACTCTACAGTGAAATTGGAGAGCCTGCAGTCTCCAGTTGGGGCATGAGTTAATGATGAATTCATTAGCATGGATGGATAATAGATTGTGAGTCTGGCTAGCCTTGCAGTGATTCCTGGCAAATATAGCTGATGATGCTCAAGGTAGCATACTAACTCCTTTACACCTGGAGGTGACCAGTACTTGCTTTAAAGGTCAAACTGAAGTACACAGAGAGGAAGAAACTCAGCCTGGATCTCACACCCCATGGTATATGGGGTCCACCTCCCGGCAGGAAAAAGAAATGAGTAACGAAAGAATAGACTCAGGAAAAGAACCAAATTATTTCTAAAAGTAAATAAATAAACAGAAATAAAAATAAGACAGTTCACAGAACAGATGAGGTCGGGCACTTGAAGCTCACAAGGTAAGGCCAGCTCAGCACATACTTTCTTGAGGGAACCTAAGAGTCTGAGGGAAAGGCGCCCAGGAACCAGGTTCTGAGAGGGACCCTCTACTTCTTGGCTCTCTGGATGACAGACCTTTGCCTGGACCTTCTGGTTCCTTTTGGAGAAGCCTATGAGACCATCTCATATAGTGGTTTTCATTCATCCAAAGGCAGGCATTCACTGACCAGATTCTCTGGGAAACATCTAAGGACCTCCAACACAACACACTTTTGTGGGTTGGCACCATGGTGAATCACACTGGCAGGTGCCTGGTGTTGCTGTGATCCCAGAATGTACGGTCAGGAAGGTTAGATCCTTTCCCATCTTTCAAACATGTCTTCTGAGAAATCTAGATGTAGATGTGTTTGGGAATGCAAGCTTATTCTCTCCACTTCCTCTCCAAAGAAGAACACTAGTTGGGAGAGCTCAGAGCTTTAGGTTGGTAATTTTTTTTCTTTAGGGTAAAATGTTACTATATTGATTTTAAAATCGAGTCATACTCTAAGAGCCACAGACTATGGTTTCTCTGAGAGTTGACCATACTCTGGTAGTGAGAAGAGTTAGTGCCTTTGTAGTGTGCTGATTATGTCAACCATGGTGAGAAGTCACCCACCACAGAGGCGTCACTCTGGGTCCCTGATGGCTGGCCTGGCTGGCCGTCTTATGGATTGTGAGATTAAAGAGCTAGACCTCAATTTACAAGTGTGGGCTGACTTCTTTGCCTGGCTCTTCTCCAAGAGCTGATCTCATTGCATTCAAAACCATTAAAAATCAAGGGCAGCAAACTTGGGTCAGTGCTCACAGTTCACAGAGTTAAACACCACAGATCTGTTGAGGGCAGGTGGTCTATGATAATTTTCCGAGCAAAATCCAACTTCATTTTCCAAATGAAACAAAACAGCTTAATCTGCTTCTCCTCAGGAGCCTCTAGCTTTCTCTTTAAATTCATGCAAGTGTCACTTATTTATTTATTGCTTTCCTCCTGCCATGCTGGAGAGAAAGTACTTAGGGGTTTCTCCATAATGCCTTTGTGTACCTTCAGTTGTCAAATGGTGTTTTGCTTCAATTGCAAACTATAAAAATGAAGCAGAAATTGAGGGTTTAAAAATTACAGCTTGCTTCAGCAGCTGTTGTTCAAATAAAATACTTCCAGTAAATCCTTTCACATTAGTGACAGTAAATTTCTAACAGTTGAGCTGTCTGGAGTCGTGGGAAGTCCCAAGGGATGAAGAGTTAGCCCAACATACAGGGAAACGATTAGTCAAAATGTCCCTCTTTTGTAAGTGAAAATCAAATATAGGCCTTCCTTCTGGAGCTAATCTAAGAACATACAAGCGGGAAGAAAGCATTTGTGAAATGCTAAGTGGAACCCAGGGACACGCGCTCAGAGCCACTCCGAGCTGCCCACCACTACAGTTAAGATGGGTCTGCAACTGCATATAGAACTCTTTTGTGTTACTTCTTATCTTGAATTTTTTAAAAGGATTCTAACATGTTTATTTGTCCATCTGGCTTTGGGGTTTTAAACGATTCCATTTCTTTTCGTTTTAAAAATATATGGTAGTTTTAACAAGAGAAATAATGAGGTTCCCCTGATATGACTTAAGCATCCTGGTTGATACCATCGGATTTTACAGAGATGAAAGAGGACTATGGAGTAGGAAGGACACATCCATCCTGAACTCTGCCTCCTGCCCATTAGTCCAGTGCCCTTTTCCTGGTGGAGTTCAGCACCTGGGAGCATGGGCATCCAGATGTTCTGTGGTAGAGTCCAGGCTCCTTATCATGTTAGGAATACTATCAGCCCTTTCTTTAAGATTGTCACACGCTTGCTTAAAGTTTGCAATTTTACACACTATGATTCATTTCACTGAGTATATGGGAAAATGAGAAGGTTATGACCCTAGTAGCATTTCCACTTGAAGGTTAACTACATTTTTCTTATCACTCTAAGAGGCACAAGACATCCACCCCAGAGCAGCAGTCGACTTGTTATACTCCCTGTGATCGGGGCTTACAAGTTGCATCAAGGAAAACCCTGTTTAAGACCAAACTTACAGAGGAAAATAATACATGAAGGACCAGTCTACACATGTATAAGGAAAAACATTACTGAAAAAAAATGTGTCCCCTTCATTTGAAACTGTTACTGACACATTAAGGGCTATAGGCTTGAAGGCTTACTTTCTAGTAATAGCAATGGGTTTGTAAAGAAATGCCATCACACTGCTGTCCAAAACCATACACTTGAGTAACTGCAGCACAGATCTACAGAGTCCACTGTAGATGTCTCAGAGACTCAGGGAACACTGTTCCTGTTCTCTTGTGAGTCTAATGTCAGCTGTTTAGGAGCCTACAGTGTATATTTTAATAATTATCTGAGATTTTAAAAAGTGATTGGATAGAATTTGCCTAATTTTTAAATAAAAAGCACCTCTGTGGGAAGGTGCTGTCTGCAGACAAGGTTGTCTGGGAGACAGCTGATTCCAAAGAGAAGGGCATGAAGAAAGGGCCACAATTGGAGTTAGTAGAAGTCTGAGGAACCCATTCTGAGGAGGGTCAGGCCATTGACTTGAGTTTCTAGCATGTTTTCTTCTAAAGGGAGCTAGGACAGAGTACATCCTATGTCCATGAATAAATAAGTTACAGAATTCTTGTTTTTTTTCTTTTTTTGGCAGTGCTGGGGATTTGTGTGTCCTAAGCAAGCATTCTCTACCACTGGCTACATTTCTAGCTCACAGCTTTTACAAACCCATGCATTTATTTCATAACAAATACATCAGGTCTCATAAAACTATAATGCTTTGGCCAGGTAGTTTAAAATTAATTGAAATGAGCAGAACTAAGTTTATTTTAAGTAATAATAGCTTCAGCTTCTTTCTACCCTGAAAGTGATTTAATTTTATCTATTTTTCTTAACAACTTTTAAGAGTAAGCAACAAGTTGTGGTTTCTGATATTTTCATACACATAACTATAGTTTTTGTTCATTTTTGCCCCTCATCACCTTTCTTTTCTTCTCCTCCAGTGGTCTCCTTCCCCTCTCCAAACAGTCCCCTTCTGCTTTTATGGCATGTGTATGTACACATATTTATATTTGCATTTAGGTTTCTCACACTTTTCATGTGCAGTTCTGACTTCTCTCTTTATCCCCTCTTCCCCTCCCTTCAGACGTCCCTGTCACTGCTCTAGTCCCATTTTAACTTGCATATCACATGTGTGTTTTCATCTCGATTTATACCCATTAGCTTGTACCTACTACAGAAACACTTGCCTTTCTGAGTCTGGCTTATTTGGCTTAATACGTTAAGACTCTCCAATTCCATCCATTTTCCAAAATGACATCATTTCCTTATTAACAGTTTATGACGATTGTGCATAGAACACCTGCACGTATCTGTTCATCTGTTAGAGGGCATCTAGGCTGGTCTGTATCTAGGCTATTGTCAACAGTGCATCCATAATCATGGATGTGCAGGTCTCTGTAGTATGCTCACTTACACTCATTCAAATATACACTCAGGAGTGGTATAGTTGGATCACACAGTAGTTCTACAAAATGTGTGTCATCATCAACATCATTCTGACTTAAAGTTCTTTTTCTTCGCCCTTGTGATGCTCAGCAACAAGAGTGTGAAGAAGGGTGGAGAAGACACAAGTGAAACACCCCTAGAGAGGATGACTTACATTGTAAAGTCACTTACACTGGCTGCAATTATAAAAAGTAGCAGCAAGACTGTCAAAGAAAACGCGGGGAAGGAAGCCATTGAAAATAATCTATATAGTCAACTCTTAAATTCTCTTGTTTTACCTAGGAGGTCGTGTGTGTGTGTGTGTGTGTGTGTGTGTGTGTGTGTGTGTGTGTGTACACATTTGTAACAGGCAAAATAGACCCATATGAGCAAAAGAGAGATTTATAAACTGCCAACACACTAGAAAAACACATATTTTTACAACGAAAATCATCATCTGAAATTTTATAGAATTGATTACCAATATTGATTGCAGTTTCTTGCTTGTCTCCCGTTAACACCCATATTTTGATTTCTGCCTTCAACAGAGTAGCTATGGTTTCTGGAACCCCGGCTTGAAGACGGTCCTCGATGGCTGTAGCTCCAAGTAGCAGCAAATTCTAGGCCAGAAAATATTATCAGTTAAAGGACAGTTCATCTTCAAGAGCAGAAACTCTGACATCCCTGATAAGGTCATTACCAATGAATGACACCCAGGGGTGAAGCAGTCACAAACCATTGACCATGTTGAGCCACTCAAGACACTCCCATCAATCATTCTGAGATGCCTGGGTGTCATGTTTAGTTTTTATCAACTTGACACAGGCTAGAGTCACCTGGGAAGAAGAGCCTCAATTTGAGAAAATGCCTCCATCAGATTGACTGGCAGGCAGGTCTCTGGTGCATTTTCTTGGTTGATGATTGAAGCAGGAGAGAACCCAGCTCACTGTAGGCAGTGCTACTCCTCGGCAGATGGCCTTGAGTTTTGTAAGAAAGCAGGCTGAGCAAGCCATAGGGAACAAGCATGTAAGCAGCACTCCTCCATGGCCTCTGCTTAAGTTCCTGCCCTGATTTCCTACTCTCACTTCCCTCCACTGTAAGGAGGCAGTGAAATCCTGACTGAATGTGTACTCTTTGACATGGGCACAGCCACGTCAAGGACCAATGCTTCAGCCCATGCGAGTGGCAAAGCCTTCCCTGGGTGAGGCTCAGAGGGATGGCAACACTTCACTCTTGGCCCAGTGCAAATGTTGACAGTGTGTACAAAAATGTCTATCACAGCTTTCTCTTCCCCTGGATGTTATAGCCTGAAGATTGTTACCCTACAGAAGCTGCTCCTTTGGAGATTAATTGAATCTATCTCCTTGTTCATCTGTATACTATAACCCCATCTCCTTATCAGTATGTGATAACCCTGCCTCCCTGTTCAGCTATATGCAACAACCCCGTTCCCCTTGTTCAACTCTATATAATAAACACATTGCATTTTCCAAAGTTCTGTGGCTTCTGCAACCAAGAGTTCAGGGCACCCAATCCCAGCTTTTTTGTGTCCATGTGTCTGTATGTTTGTCTTTTTTTTTCTTTTTTATCCTCTCACTGTCCTAGTAAAGGTTTGGGAACCCAAGCTGTACAAGAACACAGGCTCCAGATTCTAGCCTGTAAGCTCAAGTAAGCCCTTTCTTCCCCAAGATGCTTTTTTAAAAACATGGGTTCAGAAGATCAAACTCAGGTTCTTGCGCTTGCAAGACAAGTCCTTTACAGTCGAACCATCTATTCAGTCCATCAGTACTAGTTTTGACCATATATTTAAGGTTTCGTTAATACCTGACCGAGGGTGACTAGACATTTCAGACAGCCTAACTTGAGAACATCCCAAAGCAAAGGAATGATAAAAAAAACTTGGGGTCCATGGAGACACTTAGAGAAAGCAACAGATCCCAAGACAACAAATGGATTCTTATCCAAAGACTTTGCTTGGAAGTGTGACATCCTTCACTAGGCACACTCCTTGACACCTATAATTACCTTCTCAATGATCTCATAACACTCTTCCAGCCTCTGGGCTCTGTCCTTCAGTATGATGCTGGCCTCTTGATAGACTTTCAGCCACTCCTCATACTCATTCTCAGAAAGATCTGCATAGGCCACACACAGAGTCCGCAGGCCTGAAAGACAGCACAGGTAAGTGGTGAGGAGAACACATCACCTCCTATGGGACATCACATGATACTTTTTGTGGCCAAGTGCTTGAAAATGAAAACAGCCATCTGCTCCTCAGGTCCCTCTAATTTAACATTCACTCCTCTACAAAGGAAATTTTTAAAATACCTACTGTGATGGTTAATGCTGATTGCTAACTCAATAGGGTATAGAGTTATCTAGGAAACACACCTCTGAGTGTGTCTGTGGAGAGTTCCTAGATGCAAGAAGGAACGCCCATTCTGACTCTGAGTGGCTATGCCCTGTGTCCCACACTAATAAAACACAGAGACAGAGGTGAGCGCCAGCTTCCATCTCCCTCTGCTTCCCAAGATGCAATTCAAATGGCTGCTAAGGCTCTAATTGCTGTCCTTCCCCTCCATGATGAACCGCGCCCTAAAACGCTGAGACAAAATAAGCCGCTTCTTTCTTAAGTGGCCTTTGCCAAGTATTTTGTACATATACTGTCCTTCCTATGAACTTAGGAGTGCGTTAGATCCCATGAGAGAATCTCCCACTGCAGAGGGGTATCCCTGTGTAGCTCACATGTTATGTGTGCCACTGGCAGGGGGGAGGCAAAGGATTTAGGAAGCACATTTCAAGACATCCATAAAAAGTCTATTGTGCTATGACATAGAAGAGCTGGGCTCTCAAGCATCCATGTCCTCACACGTGTGTGTGTGTGTGTGTGTGTGTGTGTGTGTGTGTGTGTGCGCGCTTGCGTGCGTGCACGTGCATGTGTCTAGACATGGAAGCATACCATACTCAGAGAGTAGCACTCAGCACTTAAGCATCTATCACCACATTCACCGGCAGGAAAATCTGACATCACCGTTATCCAAAGGCTTCCAGAGAGTTCCTTTCCTGTTCACAGTGTGCAATGGGATTATTATCTGCTTAAGTCCTGGACAAGCCAGTGATAGCTCAAGAAGGTCAGGGAAATGACTCCTACTAGAGTATCTGAGACGATTGTGATTCTAAATGCTGTAGATTAGCTGCCTTCCATTTCCGTGCCACTTGTGAAGTAGCAGAGTCCAGCACAGGTAACTCAGTTTGGACTCTGTCACCTACTTCTTCACTGTCACAGGAGGTGGGAGGGGACAGAGGAAGGCAGCTGAAAATTCAGTCCTGTGAAGCATGTAGATACTACGTCTGTCCAAAGGCATGCCTGCCCGCCCATGCAGCAGCCACGGGCATGTGGAAGCTCAGCTGTAGGTCAAAAACATCTCAAAATTTCACTTACCTTCTGTGGCAAAATATTCTAGGTGGCACAATGTCTCCTCCATGTACTTGGAGTCTTTTGAAAGTCGTTCAAAGATTACATTATCCTATGAAAGGGGGAAACAGTCACTGAGACTGGCAGAACCCAAGCGACATCTGCCAGGGGCACAAACACCACGGCTTTCTTTCGTAAGTATTTACCTAATGTACATGAAAATGCTTGGCTGGGCAAAGAGGGGAGCTCTCAGTTGGGCCAAATGTGAGCTTTGTAAAATGTGCCCAACTATACCAAAGCTGTGTGTATCCAAGAAGTCAAAAAGAAACAACAATGGGGAAGATTCTGCAGGCAAATACATACCACAGCGCCCACATTTGCACACATCTGCAAAACTCAGACCATGAGCTCTGCACAAGCCGAGTACCCTTTATTGAAATGAGAGTGTTTCAGATGTTCTGATTTTGGAGTACATGTGTACACATGTGATGTGATGTCTCACGGATGGGAGCTCAGTCTAAACATTTTTGTTTCACGTCCACACTACTCACACAACCTGAAAGTAATTTTATATCTTTCCCATGGCTGCATGGGAACTCACACTATGAAGTCAGATGTGGAATTTTCTACATCATGTCAATGCTTTAAAAGTTTTGGATTGGAGCTTTTTATTGTGTTTTTGTATTCAGTGTGTGTGTGTGTGTTTGTGTATGTGTGCACACACCCCACCCCGTGTGTCTGTGTATGATGTGACGTGTCACAAGGAGAGAATGCTGTGGCGTCAGAGGACGACGACCTGCAGGAGTGACTTCTCTCCTTCCACTGTATGGGTCTCAGGATCAGCTAGTGGGCAGGCTTGGCAGCAATTGTCCTACATATTGAAGCAACTCATCAGCCCAGAGGTGGGATTTCTGTTTGTTGACGGGTAGTTTTCTGTTTATTTGTGTGTTCTTTGTTTGAGGCAGGTTTTCACTGGATCCCAGAGAGATCTGCTTGCCTCTGCCTCCCAAGTGCTGGGATAAAAGGTGTGAACCACCATGTCCAGCTAATTTGGAATGTTTTTATTAGGGTGTTCACCCTATAATATCTTTTGCAGAAGTAAACAGAATAAAGTGCATACCCTAAGTTATCCCAATATAAGCCAATACTGGAAGTTCTCATTACCAAAGTGACCACAAGCCTGGTGCTTTTAACTGACTTTTGATGAGAAATACATAGTTTGGAATATCCTGTCCCTCATGAATGACAGGCAGGATATGTACTACCACTGCTTGGCTTAAAGAACTCCACTTTTGCAATAAGGGCAACTTTAGTTAAGGCTATTGAGGTCACAGTGTCACCTGACTTTGTTTTTAGACTTTGTGTGCTGCTTGTAGGACAGTGTTGGCATGAAAATGCTGCCTGTGCTCATCGTATCTTGCAGAGTCAGTTTTATCAAAACTTCCCCTCTTCTCTAAGAAACTAGCTTAGTTAAAAAAGTATTAGTGTCTTGAGATGCTGTACAGCTTGGGAGGCAGAGACAGGAGGATCTCTGTGAGTTCAAGGCCAGCCTGGTCTACAAAGCAAGTTCCAGGAAAGCCAGGGAAGTTACACAGAGAAACCTTGTCTCAAAAAAAGTAGAATTCTTTTGTTGGTCCAAATTTAATGCCTTTAAAATACACATACATTATTCATCTTCAAAAGTCCCTAGTCATATTGCGTTCCTAACTATGACTGATGAAGATGGGTAAGCTTTGCGGGCTCATCACTGATGCAAGTATCCTTGCATAGTCTCAAAATAAGTGTGATCATTTGTTCCCACAGAGCCACCATATAACAGGATACAATTTTACAAGTATAACTCATAAGCAGTAATAGATTTCCTTAGCAATAATGCCTTTGGAGTTTGGTTATTATTAGTTAGGGATACTGGAAAAAAGCAAGACCTAGGAAACTAGTCCAAAAGGTGTTGTAGCTAGCAACAACAACAACACAAAGCAGCACAGGAGAAAAAAGACACCATTCAACAGAGTTCACATGGAGTGGGCTTTTTTTATTATGGGAAAAGGAATAGGAAAAGAGGGGAGGCCTCTAGGAACTGGAGCAGCAGAAGAGGAAAGTGAAGGGGGCTGAGAGACAGGCAGAGAAACAGAGAAAAAGAGAAAGAAACAGACAGACAGACAGACAGACAGACAGACAGACAAAGAGAAGGATGGGAGAGGGCAGGACCCTTTAAAAGGGGAGCATAGTGAATATGCAGAGGAGGTGCTCTTAGCGCTGCAGCTGAGAGCGTATCCTGACAGAACCCCAAGGGCAGGCCAGTGCAGATGCCTGAATACTAACAAAAGGAGTTATAAAAATAGATGTACACATGGATACAACCCTTATCCCCACAGCACAGCCCCCTCTCTGTCTTAAGTGAGAAAATGAACCACAGTAGATGGGAAGAATAATTACTAGGGAGCAACAATATCGGAAGACAGAATGTTGATCACCGGTCAACTCGGTCATCGTCACAGACAACAATGCTGTAACCTTTATAGACACCAAACAAAACCAGATCTGGAATCCCTACTCCAGGGATTCTGTGTGGCACACTGTGTGTCCAAAACTCACTACTGATAAAAGCAGGCTTTTCACTGCCCACTCTTATCTAATGCCACCTTGAACCCGTGGTCTCAGTGGCCTATGACTGTGTTTCAGCTTTGGGCAGACCGTGGGGGACATGTGAACAGCAGTTTAGAAAGCAGTACAATAGCAAGGCAGCCTCCTCCAGGAAGTCGGCCAAGCTCTCCACACCACTGATACTTACAGCTCCCTTGCAGTAGAGTCGAAGTTGTCCTGATGGAGTTCGAACAATGACAGACATCCTTTTTCTGTCACTATAATAGCGGAACGGGGAGGAAAAAGTCATCACTTGTTTGTTTTATAAGACCCAGGTCCAATAACTCAGCACAAGTCAAAACCAAAAGTGCTGAGCCTAGAAACAGCAAGGTCCATGTCTCTACAGCTTTCACCTGTGTACTTTACTCATTTATTCCAAACGGACAGAAGCCGATATGCCTCGCCCTGCTTAAGGACTCATTGCACAGCTGTTTGCCGAAGAGTCAGAAATGGAACATTTGTGCAGAGCTGTGCACGCCAAATCACTGTCAATCCACTCAGTCCACTCTCCATTTCACAGCTCCAGAGCCATCCCTCACAAACAGCCAGGTGGAAGATTCAACACACTTCGGAAGCTCCTTTCATGGCTTCTTTTTGATGGATAAGGAAATTACCAATTGGTAGACTTGTCTCCCCCAGCACCAGGCACTTTCTCTCCTCTCACTGGGGCGAAGGCCCTTCCTTTCACGTTTACCTTTAGGGTCAAGCCCACTTGCTGAGCCGCGGGGACTTCTGCTGCCTGAGGTTCCCAGAATCCTCTTTTCCTACCTCTGCGGTGTTGACTCGCTTCCCACTGACCCTCCCACGCTCCCCCATGCTCCAAGCACACAAGACCCACCATTCTCTTTCCCTGCACATCCACACCGTGCTTTGCTGACATTTCCCTCCGACTAGAACACACCCTCCACAGAGGCCTTTCCTTGGGGGATGTGTGAGCCATGGCACTCTCTGGGATGGGTCTTCATTCTCTCCCAGCTCCTGGGCTGCTTCAGTTTCTTAATGTATAAAGCAGACGGTAACCGACTACTCTGAGGAAATCTTACAGAAGGAAGTGGCATTAGGGAAATGATGTGTCCATTAAAAAGTATCAAAACCTGTAACCACAATTGACTCTTCTGCTCCTCCTTACTCTCCCGGCACTTTAAACACTACACCCTCGTGTTTTCATCCATAGTCACCTGTTATAATCTCATTCCCTTTCCTTTTCCTTCTCTGCCGGCTGTTAACAGCTGGCAGCAGGTAATGCAGCCCAGGGCAGCAACTGCCAACAGGAGACCTGCTAGGGACTGGAGAGATGACCCAGTGGGCAAAGTGCTCATAGTGTCAGTATGAGGACCCAAGTCTGAATCTCCAGCAAGCGCGTAAAAGCAGGGTGTGGTGGTGTGTATCTATAACCCAGGGCCTGGAGAGCGCCGACAGGCAGATTCTGGCTTTTTGCTGGCCAGCCAGTCTAAACAGTGAGTTCTAGCTTCAGTGAAAGAGCATGATGGCTACCTGCCTTAAAATCTAGGTGGAGGGTGATAAAGGAAGACACGGGATTTCTACTTCTGGCCTCCACATGCACAGGCACAGGAGAATACACACATGCATGCAACATGCACACACACAAAACGAGGAGGAGGAGGAGGGGAAAAGGAGGGAGAGGAGGAGAGGGATACAAAGAGTCCGAGGAGGTATCTAGCACATGTAGCATAGCTGGAAGCTCCACACAGGTACGCTGTCACCATCCCTACAAGAGCTGCTGCCGTCATCAGCCATCCTGCGGCTTCACACCCTCAGAACCAAGAGCACAGCTCCAAGCCAAGTGTTAGGCAGGAAAGCATTTCTTTTGAGAGGATTGGAAAATGTTGCCTCTTCCAAGCTACTGTAACCATTTAACAAAGGTGTCTAGAAAACTAAATGTTTTTCATTGTCTTTTTTGAGACTAGCCTGGAACTCACTATGTAGCTCATGCTGGTCTCAAACTTGGGGTAATCCCCCTGCCTCAATCTTCCAGAGGCTAGAATTATATGCCTGAGCCACCATGCCCCTAGCTCCATCCGTCAGGCAAAGGTGGTCTCAAGACAAAAAAAACCAAAACAAACAAAAAACCAAAGACTTCACTCTAGTATTGGAAGACAGTTCTACTCGCGTGCCAAACCACAATGCTGCCCCTCTCCCCTAGTACGGGGCATCCAACACACAAGGCGAGAGGTGCATTCAGACACAGGTCCTCAGGATAAACCGTGAATGCTCCAGAGGAGCGAGGGAGCCGTAGAAAATGCAAATGTTCCCAGGTCTTAAAGAAACTGTGCTAAGAGTGAAGGCTTCAGGAGAGGCCCAGGGGAAGGGGTTGTAAAGGCCACGCCTCCTGAGAGGAGAACCCCGCCCTGTCTGCTCTGTGGTCACATGTTACTTTCTTATTCAGATGGCCATAGAGGCTGACCTCACAGAACCTGGGTCAAGACAATGAAAACAAAGCCCTTGTCACAATCTCTGAGCCCATGCAGACATGACTACAGCTACTGACGCAGGAATGCCCAGCTCTAAACTGCTAAAGGCAAAGGAGGCTGAAGACTTTAATGTCACTTTCAGAAGAAAATAGAGGAAAGTGGTGGACTTCGCTCTCTTTAACCAAACCCTTAAATTCTAAGATGAGTTTGGGGGGAGGAGGAGGCATTTATCTTGATTAATAATACCTAATTAAATACAAATCATACCATACAATCAGGAAAATCTGTAGGTGAAGCAGTTAAGTATATACGAAGTGTTTTATGTCAAGTGTATGAAAGAGCAACATACCTTGAAAATTCCAGAACATTGAGGATCCCAAATGTCTGTTCTTGACCCATCTACAAAACAAAAACAAAAGAAGGGGGGACCTCTTACCTGAGGTGCAAAAACATTAAAATCTCAAATCAATCATCCCTCCTAAATACACACACACACACACACACACACACACACACACACACACACACACACACACACACACTCAACCCCTGACCTCCACTAGCCTTCTACATCAGCATTCACAAGCTGGATTGTGGTCCCACAGTCTAGTGGGGCCAGAGCGCCCTCTTCTGGTAGCAAGTTCTCATTGTTCTTCCATGACAGGCTCCGAAACTCTGCAACCACTACAAAGCTTTGAAAATGGAAGACCCAAGCGGCACAACACCATTCGAAAGCTCTACTTCTCAATGACGCAGAAATCCATACATTTCTCATGTATATATCAAGTTACCTAAGGCCTCCAGCAGCTGCACTTCCACTGAGTTGGCATCATAAAAAGCAACTAAGGTTCAGCTCTGCCAAAGGACTGTCCTCAAACTTAGTGGAAAACCTCGGCATTCAAGGATTTGGAGGTTCTGGATTTCATGTAAGGGACTCCGGGTCTGAACTTGTTTTGAGGACAATTAAGCACTCCTTTCCCTTGTGTTCTTAGCAACAGGAGTGTCGATATCGTGTGTGTGTGTCTCTGTGTGTGTGTGTGTGTGTGTGTGTGTGTGTGTGTGTGTGTGTGTGTTTCAAATACTTTAACTTGCTCTTTTCCTGACATGCCATAGTGGAAACAATGTGGTCTTGGGCATCAACACATGCAAGTCTGACCCAGACTTCTGACAGACTCTCTGTGAATGAGAACAGTTCTCCTGACTGCCATATCTGCCCACTATGCTCTCTCCTGGGGTGCATCCTGAAACATAACTGACAGCCCAGTTCACCTAGCCCTTGTCACTCCTCTTACATCTCTACACCCATCAGCTTACCCTCAACTCATCCCACATGTCAGGACGCTGCTTAGACGGGCACCCAGAGCCACTCCCGGGCTCACTGCCAGGAGCCACCTCCCTCTGTGCCTTGGTTCCTCACACACAGCCCATGTGCCGTGGAGGCTGTCAGCAAGGGCGCTTCATGTAAATATGACGTGACAAATGGAGAATCTGAGCCTTGGTGAGTCCCCCAGAATCAATGATTGAAGAGGCATTTGTAATGGTTAGTTATGAGACCTAAATAACCAGGGAACCTGTTTTTACCTCCAAAATATGTGGTCCTAAAACTGCGGTAAGATCCACAATGTAGAGCCCACTGGGACACCTACTCCAGTCTCCTTTGGGGGATGCTCACTTTGCTATCTTTGTTAAATAACTGCTGAAAGTGACTGTGTTTCTCAACCGAATCGTTTCTTCAGGAAGGCAAGACGTGTGATAATTTTAGGGGGAGAAAACACTCACCCAGGTAAGAGAAATCCTAAACTCTAACTTCTGTCTCTCACAGCCAGAGGTGGCTGCCCAGTGGTCTAGGCCCTACTGTATGTAACCATGAGACTGTCGGGGGTTACAGAGATGCAGGACCAGCCTCAGAAACAGAGGCAGATGGTACTTTCTCAGCGTTGGGAAGATGGAAAGGAGACTAGTAAACTTTCTTGCTACAAATAATTTCATGTGAGTGAGCAAAGGATTATGAGGCACAGCCCCAAACCCCAGGATTATACTTCTGCCTCCTAACAAGACAAATTTTGCCAATTTATTTGCAATCAACACACTATTACATATGCGCCATCTTCCAAAGGTCCAGGCTCCTTACCGCTTCAATGATGACCGAGTACGGTGTCCTGCCGGTAAACACGAAACCAAGCTTCTTAGCTCCTTTTACCAAAGCAGCTTCATCTGACAACGATAAGTCAATGACACACACGTTCATGCCTTGTCATGAGAGAATTGTCATGTTTCAAATTAAAACCTACCATGATTGACAGGGCCTGGCATTATCCAAACAAGAGCAAGGACTAAGGACTACACACACACACACACACACACACACACACACACACATACACACGCACGCACGCACATACATACACACTGGAGCTTGAAATGTCTACTGGACAGATTGCTACCAACAACGAAGTCACCAGGACCACAGTAGTTTACATTCCTGCTGTGCTATGCCGGATCTACTCAAGGGAAGCTCCCTCTGCTGATCTCTCAACAAGGTTGTGCTTTTACTTGCTGTACTATGTGATTCAGACGACCAGGGAATGGGCAGAGGGCAACTGCTTTGATGCAGCATTGAGACAGCTTTGGAGCCACCCTGGTTCTCTTTTGAGACCATTGTCTATCCCAACTGTATACCCAAGATGTGCAACAAGGCCAGGCTCTTTCTTGCCACCAGAGTACCATGAAAGTCAGGAGACCCTAGTACCTGCTCTCCTAGGTTTTAACACTTATAATCTTGAATTGGAGGTGCTATGAGCCCAAAGGCAAATAGTTAACTCTTGTGGGGCAAGACACACCAAAACATCTTCAAAACTAATAGAAAGCCAACAAGGTGTTTCCAGCAACAGACCTCACCTGGGGAGGAAGCCTGGTAGATGATTTCATCTCCATCCTTCTCAGGGACAACAGTGTGACACACAGCCAGCAAGGTAAGGAACTCTTGTATGCAAGGGGCTGTAGGCTAAAAGCAGAAGCACCAATTAACCAGTCACCAAAGTTGTAATGCACAGTGAATTCAAGCCATCCCCTGCTTTAAAATCCAGTGAGAAGTCAGGCATAGTGGCACATACCTTTGGTCCCAGCACGTGCGAGGCAGAGGCAAGAGGATCTCTATGAGTCCAAGGCCAGCCTGGTCTACATGGTGAGCTCCAGGCTAGCCAGGGAAAGAGGGTAAGACCTTGTCTCAAAACAAGAAGAAGAAATCCAGTAAGTGTTTGCCTTTGAACTCTGCACAGAGTTCAGATGCTTAGTTATCTGACTCTAGGACCAGACATATGTTCTCAATGGAGCCCACCTCCTGCCACTCTGATCTTCAATCAAGTCATATCCTTCCTCAGTGTCCCTTCATGCCCACAGCCCGCCAGCTGCTTACAGTGTGATCACCTGTGTAATCATTTGAGTCACATCCTACAAGCCCATTGCACTGGAGCCTCAAAACAGTCACCCTGGGCTATCAGGAGACATGGCCCTTTCCACCCACTAAGCTAACTAGTATTCTGAACGTCTGATCTTTCTTGTACCCACATCTAAAATCCAGGGTGTCCCTGTGTAGTCAATCTTTTCCTTCCATCCCTAAGAAAAACAAATCCTAAGGATTTCAAGTGAAATTTTGGGCTACAGTACACTTTCCCATTTATATGACTTCTAAGTCATATAAATCTAGAACCTGGGGTTTACATATTATTTGTTCAGTCATACTCAGGAAACTAGTGTGATCAAGCAGTGTGTTCATCAAGGTTTGGGGGGCTGAATACGAGCACTTAGGCCAGCTAAACAAACCATCAGTGTAATTGCCCCCTCCAGCTTTGGTCCCCTACAGGGCCTGAGGTCAATTAACTAGAAACAAACAAGTAGTTAAGTTACAACCTAGAAGTTAGCACACTAAGCCAAGAAAGTTGTTTTCTATACTCAACCCTTACCCCATTTTTACTCTTTGTCTTGTCTTGCTTGGAGCAAGCCCAGGCTCTCTCCATATACTAACGAAGTGCACTAATGTTGCTGAACATGTACCTGGATTCTAGGACCTTTGATTAAGACCCAGGAAGAGCTCTCCACCCCCTTTTGCACAGAGTTCAGATCTTTGGCTGAACCCCCAGGTCCCCCATGACCTGCCACCTCTACTAACATCAGTCCCTGGCTTTGTTTTACTTTTCTTTGATTTCATAGACTCAGTTAAAATGAATTGTCTACAGAATCTTCCTTTCAATAGTCATGCAAAATACTTTGTCCATTGCTCCTTATTATAAATCTTACTTGTTATGTTTGCCGTGGCTTTGTTTGTTGTTGGGGTGATGGTGTCACTGTTAGTCTCCACCTACAATTGAGCTCTTCCTCCCTAAATTTCAACTCCCTTTCCAAGATTCCCAAGATCCTCCTAGCTTGTTTTTTCCCCCAAGATAGTGTTTCTCTGTGTAGCCCTGGCTGTCTTGGAACTCACTCTCTAGATCAGGCTGGCCTCAAACTCACTGAGATCCACCAATCTCTGCCTCCCAAGTGCTGGGGTTAAAGGTGTGTGCCACCACCCCCTGGCCCTAGCTTGCTTTCTAATGCTTCAATAAACACTATGACCAAAAGCAACTTGGAGAGGAAAAGCTTTATTCCAGCTTACAACCCTCAGGTCACACTCCATCACTAAGGGAAGTCAAGGCAGGGACCTGGAGGCAGGGACTACAGCAGAGGCCATGGAGGAGCGATGCTTACTGGCTTGCTCCCCATGGCTTGCTCAGGGTGTTTTTTTTTTTAAAAAATAAGCTTTTATTTTTTAAATTAAAGCATAACTACATAATTTCCCCCATTTCCTCTCTCCAACCCCTCCCATGTACCTCCCCCTTGCACTCTCTCAAATTCATGACCTCTTTTTATTTAATTGTTGTTATATATTTTCCTTAAATGTGTAAGGAACAGCCTGCCCAATCCTTATAACCCTACTTTCTGTATGTGATTTCAGGACTGACCACTTGTTATTACAGAAAATACCCGGTCAAAGTACAGAGAACAAGTGATCACGTGGTTCTCTACCCGAGTGCATCAGGAGCACAGTTCCTGTCTCCAAGGCTCAGGGATGGATCCCTGTTGTGAGAAGGGGAGCATCTGAGAGCCAGAGGAACAGGGAGTCTGCTGTGAGAGTATCTCCTAGAAAAGCCAGGGATGCTGCAGCCATAGCTGCCTAAACAAGACCTGGACCAGGACCACACCAGTATACCCTCACCCAGCCCCATGCTTTAGGTGCAGAAAAGATCCAGTAAGACACAGGCCCCTGGGGCACAGCAAAGCTAACAGGGAAGGGGGAAACTCACAGAGCCCCCACCCTAGAGAGAGAACTATAGGTAATGACGGCATGCTGAGAGCAGGAGAAATAGTCTTCTCCAGTGAAAAGCCCAATAATTGGTCATCAGCTTGCTTTTCTTATACAACTCAGGACCACCTCCCCAGAGGCAGCACTACCCACATTAATCAAGAAAAGTCCCACAGGATTGCCTACAGGCCAATCTGATGGAAGTATTTTCCCAAGTGAGGCTTCCTCCCCTCAGATGGCTCTAGCTTGTGCCAAGTTTTCTCTCTCTTTATCCTCTCTCTCTCTCCTCTCTCTCTCTCCCTCCCTCACCGCCCCCTCTCCCCCTCTCTCTCACATACACACCTAACCAGCACAGCAAACACATAATGGCTATCTGTCCCTAGGTTCCCCCGCCCTTTCTTCTCCAAAACTGAAGTTTCAAGTAAGGGCAGGGCGCAAACATCCACTTTCTGATGTGCAAGGACGATGCCTTGCTGAGAACACCACAGGTGGCTCAGGAGGGACTCAACCCCAGGGTTGAATTGTTATGATCCTGGTCCCTACTGATAGCGCTGTCCCAAGAGAGGTGGTTGTCACCTGATTGAATACTGCCTGAAGACCAAGTGGCCTGAACCAGATGGCTGCAGGTGCCTGGCAGGCTCACACTATCTGGTGACTCCTATCTCCTACCACCCTTTGCTGCCCCACACCAGTACCCGGTCTCTGAGGGGAGTTGAGCAAGTTTCTGCAGTGGGCCATTGGCTAAGGGGCTCAGAAGCCTAGGTGGGGGACTGGCGAGGATCTCTCTGTGTCTGCCTGAAAGGTGGTCCTCATTTCAAAAGAGGGTGGAGGGAACAATCAACTGAGGACCCTGAGCTTATGTTACTGTCAACATCTTCAATGTGACACTCGATTTGAGGGATGCTCCTCAGAAGAAAGTTCATGTCTGATACTATAAGCCTGGTGACAAGCCCTTGGCTAGAGAGTGCATGGGTCCTAGGGTGAAACCTTCTATTGTTTTGTTCAATGGCCAAGTTATCAAACTGCCTTCTGAATACTGATATTTATAACAAAGACACAATCTGCCCTGTCTTCATCCCAGAGCCTTCTTTCTGCAGTGGTGGGCAGTTAGTGAAGAGGCTTGCAACTGGACAAATGCTGAGAGATAACACTTGTGACCACCCTGCCCTAAATATGTCATCACTACGAATAGGAGGCGCTGTCTTCTGGACATGGCAAGGATATCTCACTCGTGAACTCTCTGCAGCTGTGTATCTGCATAAGACTTGTAGAAGATCAAGCCAGTATATGCCACATAAAAATAGTGATCCACAAGCCACCTTTTGTCCTGGAGGTAAGTGGCACACTCACATGTTGATCCTCAATGTTCTTTAACAGCCTAGGGTCGTTAAAGTCGCATGAGTCACTGGAGCAAGGAGCCATCCGGCTGGAAGAAAGAACAAAATTCATCCATTCAGTTTAAAAGGCAAGATGGCTCACACCTAGAGAGAATCTACACTCAGAAAGAACCATGAATAAAAGACCCATGGTCTTACATTCAGTGTTTAAAGATCTGGAATACTGAATATTATACCAAGCTTTAAGACATCTTAAATCCCTAAACTTTGCTACGAACAAACTGTGTTACAAGTTCTTATAGATACCAACAGATTTACAAGGGAAAGAATCATAAGCTACGTCTCAGCACTATAACTGTCGTCTGTGAGTTGGTCCTTAAATAACAACTGGTGGTGGGGGGTACAGGGGAAGGGGGAAGGGCTACACCATGCTTTATCATTCGTGGCCAGAGTGTGTGTGGAGAAGAGAAGGCAGCAAACTATCAGGAGAAAGGAAACTGGATGTAACAGCTGTGGGCTGTCAGACTAGCGCAAGTGTGAGCCTCACACACATCCTTCACCCCCTCTAGCTCCCGAAACTCATTCTTCAAGACCACAACAGTAAAAGAGGGAAAGGGCAAGTCGATGCCAGTCTTAATTGTGAATGGATATCAGAGAGCAATACAGCAGATAAAACAACTATTAGCTTGTGGGGAGGCTGGATACATGAAATGCCAGCTGAACAGGACACTAGGAAGGCTGGAAAATGGTACTATGTGAAGGGTGCAAAATACCCGGGAAGCATGCCAGGTAACTATGAGGGATAAGAGTACCTGTGAGGGTTGAGGTCCTGTGAGGGTTATGAGGTCCTGTGAAGACCAAGAGGTACCTGTGAGGGTTATGGGTACCTGTGATAGGCATGAGGTCCTGTGAGGGTATGAGTACCTGTGAGATATATTGGGTACTTGTGAGGGTTATGAGGTCCTGTGAGGGGCATGGGGTATCTGTGAGGGGCATGGGGTATCTGTGAGGGGCATGGGGTATCTGTGAGGGGCATGGAGGGATGGAGATGGCCTAGGGGGATAGGCTGACCACACCAGGGCAGAGGGAGCTGAATCTTCCCCAGTAGTACAAAGTCTTACAATGTCTACTGTAAGGATTCAGGCATTATGCTAGTCTGCCCCCTCACCTGACAGAAAGCACTCAGGTAGTACCCTGGCCAGCCCAGGGTCCTGTGGCTGCTATATCACTACATAGTCTGCATGCAGGTGCAAATGTTTCTTTAAAAGGCAAACTCCACCCACCTCCTCTCTCTTTTCAGCCATCTCTCTGAGGAGGCAGACAGATCCCTGTTTATTGTCTCTCCCCCACTCCCTTCTCTCCACCCTTTCTCTCCCTTCCCCTTATCCCTTCCCAATAAAACTTCCTTTCAAGGTAAGTTCTGCCTAATGGCATGTTTGTCCCCACCATGGGATCCACCACAGCCTCACCCTCACGCAGTATTATAACATCTATAATTTTTAATTAGTATAAAAGTATTATTTGTAAGCACAGGAATTTGAAAAAAATAAGTAAAAATGTTGCAGAGGGTTGGAAATGGAAGGACTAGACAAGGAGCATACTGTTGACGTCAAAAGCTCTGCGTTGTGGATTTAAGCCACATCTGCATTTAATTCTTATCCTGGCTCTTTGTCAAACTAACATAGTCACAACTCAGATCTAAAATGGTCCTGATGCTCCCCATTAAGGAGGTAAGACAAGCTCGACTCTACTTACCAGAAGTCATCTGAGGACGGCTCTCTGGCTAGTTCTGGGAAGTGGCTGGAAGGAGAGAACAGAGTGGTCAGAAGAAAAGGTCAGTTCTTAGAGTACACATACAAACCCACAGGTACCCTGAGACCTCTCAGTAAAGTCTGAAGATTCCCCGGGGAATCCATTAAGCTTTACACATATTTAATAGCAACTACATATCCAAATCCCTCACAACACTTGACAAAACAGCACAAACTACCACTTTGTTGGAAGACTAGAAATGAGATTTCCTATAAATTATAAACATACTCACCCATAGGTTACACCAGCAATGCTACACTTCTTGAAGTTCATGATATTGCACGTAAGAGTTCCAGTCTTGTCAGAAAACAGGTATTTTACCTAAGCATGAACAAAATGCATATCAAGAGTGTAATAAGGGGCTATAGAGATGGCTCAGAAGTTAAGAGAGTAGGCTGCTCTTCTAGAAGACCCAGATTCCATTCCCAACATCCAAAGGGTAGGCCATGATCACCTGTAACTCCAGTTCCAGGGTACCCAATGCCCTCCCCTCTAGCTTCCAAGAGCACTTTATCATATGGTGCACAGATACACACATTGGCAAAACACTCACACACAAAATAAAGTAGCTTTTGAAAAACCAGATGTAATAAGACGCAGGATCAAGAAATTAAGTTGTCTTATTTGTCAGTAAATCTGATTGAAATTTAAATGAGAGTCCATGAAAGTAAACAAATCATAAATAATGCACTTTAATTCATGGACCATTCACAACTTTTTCTGTTACTAATTCTACAGAGTGGGTAATAAACAATAGAAGAAGCCTCCATAACTTCCCTGGACACTGTCTAAAACAGTGTCTCAACCTTCCTAATGCTGCGACCCTTCAACACAGTTCCTCATGCTGTGCTGCTCCCAACCACAAAATTATTTTCACTGCTACTTCACAACTACAATTTGCTAGCATTAGGAATTGTAATATAAATATCTGATATGCAGGGTATCTGATATGTGACACCTGTGAAATGGTCATTCTTCCCCCCAAAGGGGTTGAGACCCACAGGTTGAGAACTTCTAGTCTATAGCATCATCATAGTGTCCCTTGGCACTCAGCTCTCACCGAAGACGGGATTTTTAAGGTCCACCCCCTAGCTAGATTAATACTGGCCAGCATGGCAAGATATCCCTAAAGGTGCAATAGTGGCATTCATATTTATGAAGGAACCATCAGCAGTCTAACTGAACCTAAGGCCCACTCAACAGGATGAAACCTATCCAACTACCTGGGGCTAGTGAGGTCACAGACTTTAGAAGAGAACCTACAACCACCAGACCGGCATATCTTTTGGCTTTTGTGTTTTCTTTCCTCTTTTTGGCAGTCTCACTGTGTAGCCATGGCTGGCCTGGGGCATGCTTTGATTTTTTGGCCTTGAACTAACATATCTTCCTGCTTCTGCTTCTGGAGTTAAAGGCATGAGCAACCATGCTTGGACCAACCAGTGTAATTCCTAACTAAACTCTAAATCCACATCCTTACACTCACAGATTGTAAAGTGTGGCTCTCACCATCATCAAAGAAGCTGCTCTTTGCAGCAGACAAAGATTACCACAGAAAGTCACAACTACCAAAGTGCAGAGGCCATCAGGGGAGCCCAGCCCCAAGGGATATATCTATGACACAATTCCTACTCCCAAGGCTCGGGATCACTGAGGGAGAGGAAGTGAAAAGACGAAGTCTGCTGTAAGATTGTGTCTCCTAGAAATGACACAGAAGCTCAACCCATGCTACCTCAACAATATGGCTGCCAAGCAAGACCTAAACAATGACAACACCAACAGACAGCTAACATGGAAAGAGAAAACCAGTCTGCACTCCTAGACAAAGAACTACAGGTTACTAATGACTGCTGTCTTGGGGTTTCCATTGCTATAATTAAACACCATGACCAACAGCAACCAGAGGAGGAAGAATTTATTTCATTCTCAGGCCACATTCCACCACTGAAGGAAGTCAGGGCAGGAATTCGGGACAGGAAGCTGGAGGCAGGAGCTGATGCAGAGGTCATAGAGGGGTGCTACTTACTAGATTGCTCTCCATGGCTGGCTCAGGACCACCAGCTGAAGGGTAGCATGGCCTACAGTGAACTGGGCCTTCCCCTACTAATCATCAATCAAGAAAATGTGCCAACACCTTGCCAATCCAGTGGTAGCATTTTTGTTAATGTGGGCTCCCTCTTCCAAAATAACTCAAACTTGTGTCAAGCTGACATACAACTAGCCGTCACACTGACAGAAAACTAGTTTTTCCTAAGGATGGGCCTCCTAATTGGTTGTCTAATACCAAGCTTTCATACCTAATCATATATGCACTGTAACACTAAGTGGACTCAGAAGGTTATATTTGTATGTTTATGCATTTCTATAAATATCTACACAACAATAGTAATCAAAGAAAAAGAGGCCTTCTATTTGAGAAGGAATTGATTTGAGAAGGGCATGGGAGGAGCTGGAGAGGGGAGGGATTTGAGAAAGGAAAGGGACAGGGGAAGTGATGTAATTATATTTTAATTAAAATAATTTTTAAAAGAAAGATTACATACTGATCAAATCAGGACAGACAGCTTCACATTGAAACTTATTTATAAATAATTACATATATTTATGATATATACAAGATACTTCAAAACATGTATGCATGTTGATCCTATTGATCAATGAGATAATTAATGTTTTGTTTTTTCATGTGAATAAATCTAGGAGCATTGAAAACACAGCAGAATTAGTTCCTTTTGTCTCTTTTTTAAAAAGAATTAAAAGATTGTCAACATAGTAAAAGTAAAAAGGAAGACCTTATAAAGAATTGTAGAATTTGTGGTCCCTCTCCCTCTTGAACTTACACTTAGGCATGCCACCCGTGCCTGGCCAGGACAGGGTACTTCACCCTAGGTGCTTCCTTGAGCACTTTCAGTCCTTCCATCTTGCTGGGCCAGTTCAGGGGCACATGAGAACAATCATATATGTAGTCCTGTGAACTGACAAAGGAAACCAAAGGCTACACATACGGCCGACCCTAAATATCCGCAGAGGTAGTTCTAAGAACCCCCGTGGGTACCAAAATTCTCAAATGCTCTAGTCCACTAGATAAAATGGTATTGTGTTTGTATAACACCTACATACAACCTTTGGTGTGTTTCACATAATCTTAGGTGGTGTGTGACACCTACGACAATACAAATGTCATACTGTCTTAACTAGGGAACAGTGACAAGAATCTTCTGTGTATATTTGGTACAGGTGCAACCACCACAGGTATGATCACATTTTTGACCTGCAGTTAGCTGACTATACAGGGTGTGTACCTGCTCCAGAAGACTCAACCATCTCCAGAAGCACACAGACACTGTATAGCTAATCACATTGTCATTTCTCTGTGTCTCTCTCTCTCTCTCTCTCTCTCTCTCTCTCTCTCTCTCTCTCTCTCTCTCTCTCTCTCTCTCTCTCTGTGTGTGTATTTGGAAAGAATTCTTAAGACAATAGGGCAGATAGACACCAATGTTGCAGGATTCAAAGAGGCAAATATCATATGATATGTACCAAGAATTCAGGGATTGTTATAGGAATATAATTTTACCCATGACAATGTCATTATAGAAAGAAATAAAGTAGGTAGATGATATAGATAGATAGATAGATAGATAGATAATGGATGGATGGTATGGGTAGATAGGTAGATACAGACAGACAGATAGATGATAAATATTTGGCACTGAATTCTGCCCCTCATCATGTGTACCTCAGGTGCACAGGGGAAGGACAGGGACACAAGTCTCCCTGAGGAAGATTTGTGCTCTGGGCCAGAGTATTCTCTCTAAATGACAGATCACCTTGCTACGTCAAATAAACTCAAGTACTCCTGTAAATTCTAACCAGATTTGGAAAATATCAAAGGAACAGAGTCACCTGAAAATGTGGCTACAGAACCATATTTTATTATATAACTTGACAAATTTGAGCCTCAGCTTTCTGTCAATGAACTCAAAAATGCTACAGCACAAAAGCAGAATTGACTTTGCCCTTGATGGGGGAGAAGAGGGAGAGGCCCTCAGACTAATGAGAAGTCAGGCTTACATCTTCCCAGAGGGCCTTGCAGCCGGTGTTCCAGGGAAACAAAGGACAGATTTGGACAGGCAATCTGCAGTCCCCCTATACAAACCAGCTTTCCTGAGGTGAATTAATCATTTTCTTGTCTATAAATTAAGCACACCACCCCCAATTGGATTGTTGGGAAGTTTAAGGTGTATAAAATAAAACCATAGTTTAATAACTTGACTTTAGGTTAAGAGTAAGTATTATGTGTTCAAAAAAGATTATAGGTTGCAGTAATTCAATGGAGGAGGCAGATATAATGTAACACAACAGTTAGGAAGAACAAGTAGAAATCAAGATGAAGATACAAAATTTGCCAACTTGCTGAACTCTATTAGGGATGCCTGTCCTTCAAATGGCCTCCCATTCTTTGCAGAGCAGCCCAATAGCCAATATTCTACCCCATTTTCCTTATCATCTGTTCTGAGAAGCACATTTCAAAGAATTCAAAATAACATATTTTTTGTACAATGTTTTATATTTTTCCAGATATGTTCTCAGCAAAATGATACATTTGTATCACCAAAACCAAATAACAATTACATTCACTACCACCTTGCAAACAAGATGTCACATCCACAGTGATGGGTAACTATTTGCACAAAATCTCCCCAGAGCCCCTCTGTTAACACTGGCTTCCTGCTCATGGCACTGCCCACAAAGTCCTCAGAAAGGCTCTCACCTGCCCAAGCTCTTCATTAAGGTTCGATGTCCTGGCCATAGCTGGAGTGTCATTTTCAATATAATACATATCTGTGTCCTGAAAGGGAAAGTGGGAGAGAGGAGGGAAGAGGGAGGGAAGCCTTCAGAAAACATGTAATTCTAATATTTCATTAAGATTAACACAGACTCTGGCAACTTCAAATCCTTCCATTTTCATTCAAATGCTAACTTTTAACTTGGGTTGAAAATGAAGTTGCAATTAGGATAGTGAAACCCTGTGACACAACATGATCCATGATATTTAGGTTCTGGTCCAAGATAATCATCTCACACACTAGCTGTGAGCTTGGTCAATGCCTCATTCACAGGCTTGTGAAAACCAAAGCAAAACACACATGACAGTGCCTGGTTTGAAAAAAAAGTTGCTAAGGCCCAGTGCTTAATGGCCATGACCATCACAGTCCCTTAAAACCCCACCTCAGCCCCTACAATCCATCCAGGGTTACTGTTGTGATGAAACCCATGCAGAATGGACACTGGTGAGCACACGTGAGAGGCCTTTTCCTTAGCATAAGGAAAGCACAGCATGGTGGCCAGACACCAAGCACCCACTGAGCATCCTCCCCCACTTTCCCCACCCCTGAGGTGATGACCTTGCTTGCCAGTCATCAGTCTGGCTGGCTTAACCCCATGACCTAATAATAAACAGCCTCTGTTACGTCTTTTCTGGGACTCACTGAAACGGCAGAGGCTCATGGAGAGGACTAGAAGGCGGAGGCTGGCAGCCCCCCAGCAGCTCACGTTTCACACTTGGCTTGGAAACTCACCCAGTTTATGAAGAGCGCCTGCGTGTATTTCACCACCTCCAGCGTCACCAGCAGACTGATGGGAATCAGATTGTTGTACAAGATGATAAACGTCAGCAAGTTGTAGCCAAAATTATCTGAGCTCGTTTCTATGGACAAAAACCAGGCCATCCATATAGATTTAGTGGAAGTCTACATTTTACTTCTTTCCATTTTGTTATTTTAGACTCTCCCCGCAAAAAGATGCTCACAACAAAAGCCTGTGTGCATGTCTTGAGACTGAGGAGTTATTGTGCCAGTTCAGACTCCAAAGGCTACTCGAATTCAGTCCCTGTAGATAGTGCTGGCCTCTCTTGAGGGCTTGGGGAAGGAGACAGAGGAGGGAGCAAAGACAGCCGTCCCCTGGGAGGGGAGTGCCATCTTTGGCCCCAGAGGAGGATGAGGCTATTACAGAGGTGGTCAGACAATGTGGCAGGAACCAGGAGAGGAGGCTCCAGAGGAGGCAAGCTGAAGAGTAAGCCTGGGAATCAGGAATTTGTAATGGCTCCAAGCCACACTCATTGAGTTTTCCAGCAGGAAGACTTGACACATGGTAATAGATGATGAATCTTGGGACTCCAGAGGCTGGCTGTGATGGAGAGGGGTGGTGGGAACAAGGAAGGAAGCAAGTACTGACTGGCCAGCTGACTTCCCAGCCTTTTATTTTCTACCCACTCCCAAGCTTTTCGCTCTCCAGCTGGCAGCCCTCTTCCCTGGCATATTACTTTGCTATCTGGTTCTCTTAAGACAACAGAGGCATTGCTAAACAGGACCCCTAGGTCCCAATAACTCAAGTGTCCCCAGAGCACAGCATTTGTTTAGGAATAAAATTTGTCTGCCAATAAAATGTATTAAGAATGTATTATGGCCGGGCAGTGGTGGTGCACACCTTTAATCCCAGTACTCGGGAGGCAGAGGCAGGTGGATCTCTGTGAGTTCGAGGCCAGGCTGGACTAATAGCCTCCAAAACAATACAGAGAGATCCTGTCTCATAAAAACCAAAAAAAAAAGAAGAATGTATTATGACATTAAGAATGTATTATGACATTATGACTTGATACTAGCCCAAAACTGTTTTGTTTTGTTTGTTTTTTATTTTTATTTATTTATTTGGTTTTTCGATACAGGGTTTCTCTATGTAGCTTTGGAGCCTATCCTGACACTCTCTCTGTAGACCCGACTGGCCTCTAACTCACAGAGATCCACCTGCCTCTGCCTGGGATTAAAGGCATGGACCACTACCACCTAACACGAAACTGCTGTGTAACACTACATAGGACCACATAGGATGTTAAAGAGCAGTTGACTATGCAAAGAAAACCTATATCTAAAGCACCAGAAGCCCGAGAATGTTCAAGTTTGCCAGAAAACCAAACAAGTCCATCAAAGAAGGAAAGAGAATATCTACCCCTATGTAAAATACTCAGTCAATCGAAAACAATGAGAAGGATGTTAAGATGGGACCAAATTTGATAGGAAGGAAACCCAATCACCAATAGAGGCAGTGGAACATGAAACTGACTTCTCCAAACAGGTGCATATGTAGACCATGTCCCCCTGAACATCACACGGGTGACACTGGAGCTCAATGTGATCTGAGCAATTCAAGTGCCAGTTTCCCCAAAGCTGCATTGATGCCACATGTTTACTCAGATAACTACATTCTTATGAGCCAGTCTTCATGTCTAAAGCAAGTCACATAACAGAAACCCACACCAAGGGATCTCATCAACTACAACTCAAACCACAATCAAAGACAGGTGTTCGTAAAGGAGCAACCAGCACAGGAGCTCAAGCCTGTAATCCCGGGATTAGCAAAGTGGAGGCAGGAGGACCAGGAATCTGCGGCCAGCCTCAGCTACAGACTGAGTTCAAGGCTAGCTTATACCACATGAGATCTTGTTTAAAAACAAGCAAAAATGAGCAACATTAGTTTTCCTACATTTCGAACCTGAGTGTTTTATGTTTTTTTATTATTTTAATTTTAAATAGCTTGTTTTACATGTCAATCCCAGTTCTCTCTCTCTCCCCTCCTCCCACACCCCTCTACCATCCCCCCAGCCTCCCACCCTATCGCCTCCATTTCCTTCCACATAGGGGATATCTAGAGTCTGTCATTTCACTCAGGGCAGGGTCCAGGCACTCCCCTAAGAGTCCAGGCTGAGAGAGCATCCCTCTTTGTGTTGTGGACACACAATGTCTGTTTGTATGCCAGGGATAAACACTGATCCACTGCCCAGGGCCCCATAGGTTGCCCAGGCCTCCTCACTGACTGTCACATTCAGGGGGTCTGGATAAGTCCCATGCTGGCCTCCCAAATGTCAGTCTGGGATCCAAGAGGTCTCCCCTGTTCAGATCAGCTGTCTCTGCTGGTTTTGCCAGCCCATTCTTTGCCAATTTGCTCATCGCTCCTCTCTCTGTGTCACTGGGTTCCATGGGTTCAGTTCAGTGTTTAACTGTGGGTGTTTGCCTCTGCTTCCATCAGTCACTGGATGAAGGCTCCAGGATGGTTATAGACATCAAGTTCATTATCAGGAATGGGCATTCGAGGTGGTCTCTCCACTATTGCTTAGCTTGCCAGTTGGTGTCATCCCTTTACATCACTAGAGGTCACACTGGTGCCTGACCTGTCTTCTAACCTATGATTCCCTCTTCCCCCTATTCTACCCCTCACTCAACCTTCCTGTTCCCCCATGACCTACTCTCTCTTCCTCTTCTCCCCCTCTCTTCTTCCCAGCTCCCACTCCCCCCACCCCTCTATGGTTAAAGAAACTGGAAAAGTAAAAACACATCTAAATCAATTTAAAAATAATTGAGAAATATCAATAGCAATAATGTCAAGCCAGTACCCTAAAGTTTTTAGATTTATCATGAAATTTCTGTCACTAAGTTCCATTATTTTTCTTGTTTTGCTGACATCAGAGAATGGCAGATCTTCCTTCTACCCCTAGCCCCCACCAAGTAGCAAAATGAGACAGAATCATCAAAATCAAATTAAGTCTCAAGTGCATATATTAAGAAAATCTGTCAACTCTGGTAAGAACAGTTGGCACCTTGGACTACTATTCCACTCACAGCCCCTTGTCGTGCGGGTTCTACTCTAGGGGGTGGTAGTGGTTTTGGGGTTGACTACCATCACCTACCTTCCCTCCCCCAGTTGCTGACAAATTTACCCCAGGGCAGGACTGGAACACCTAGGTAACTCACATCATTTGAATGGAGGATGGGGAAAATGCCATATGCAATGTCCAATCAAAAACAATAGATCTCAGGGAAGGCAAGTGCTCCCATATTTTAGTAAGGGCAAAACAGAAAACTGGCTTGAATTTAGCAGACCTACCCATGGGAAAGGGTAGCCAGGGAAATTCCGCTAAGACTTCACCCTGGTCAGCAAAGAAGACCTTGTCTGTGTATAATCTAGATGCCAGTGAGTTGGGTGAAGCAAGGAGACAGTAGCTAGGAACTCACCCACAGGAAGACACTAAGACCAGCGGGAATGGTGAATGAGTAGGTTAAAAGAAGCAAGGTCATAAGCACTTATCTTTATCTTTTCTTTTAGCTCTTTAAGATTCCTAGACTATACAAAGCACTGATTATAATGCTGTGTAGTTAGGTCGACAGAACACACACAGTGTATATACGACAGTAACAGTACTAGCAGGGGAGAATGTGGAGGTGAGTTGGTCTGATGTTTGGGAATTAACTTAGGAGTAATACAAAGGGTTTCTCGTGTTGTCATCCCTAGAGCAACCATGAGAAAGTGTCTAGAAATAGCTGAGAAACAATCATTAGAGCATAGAACAGTCCCAGATATACCCATATACACTTCATCTTATGATTCCTGATCTGCTCTCTCTCTCTCTCTGAGTAGGTCTGGCCTAGGCAGGGCAGTGACGAAAACAGAGCGAGGGCATGGCTGTCACCCACAGGCCCTATGTGGAAAGACCTTCTAAGAGGTTTGTCCCACAGAAGTGCACCCCAGCACTCACCCATCTTCTTGATGTACCAGCTCTTTCCACCATGAGACCCATTCCAGAACAGGGCCCCCACCGAGCTCACCAGGGCCATGACCAAGAGGATGCCAAACAGCACCAGGATCTGTACGTTGGTTACCTTCTCGACATTCGACCTCTTGAGAGGAGCTTTTGTTGAATTCTGTAAACCAGAATTGAAAGTCAGTAACCATCACAGAACAGGCTTGGGGCAAGGGTAAGGAGAAACTGAGTAAGACATCACACGCAATGATGGAAATGGAAAAGATAATTTCTCTTCCAAATTAATGATGGAGCTAAGGTGCAACATACTCTTGAGTAAACAGCCCAGTCTTTAAAAGACATTCCCCAGTTTTAGTAACTCACCAGTGGCAGTTTGAATAAGAATGGCCCATATATTGAAAAAGGATTAGAAGGATTAAAAGGTCCGGCCTTGTTGGAGGAAGTGTGTCATTGGGGTAGATTTCGAGATTTCGAAATGCCTTCTCTTAAAGTAGCTGCCTTGGTCATGATGTCTCTTCCCGGCAATAGATCATTGACTAAGACAACACCCTGACTCTACATGATCTAATTCACACTTTTATTTGCACCTTATAACCTCAGCTACTTTCTTAGACGTAGCAGGCTCTGGGTAATCCAAGTGTGCTCTAAAAGAAACCAACACACTGATAATTCTTTACCATAAAAATCTAAGGAGAGCCAGGTGGTGGTGGTGCACACCTTTAATCTCAGCACTCAGGAGGCAGAGGCAGGTGGATCTCTGTGAGTTCGAGATCAACCTGGTCCATAAGAGCTAGTTTCAGGACAGCTTCCAGAGCCACAGGAAAAAACCCTGTCTTGAAACTCTACCCTCCCCCAAAAACCTAAGGAGAACCTCCAAAGTAGTAATTCAGTTCTGTGATAAGCATAAGAGAGATTTTTAAAACATACATGTTCTTTCCAGCCGGAAGGAATAAAAAACAGACACAAATATAAATGCCTCAATAAAGCAAGACAGAGAGCATAGGTAGGTATCAAAGTAAAAGAACGAAAGGTTCCCTTGGAGAGGGTAAACAATAAATAAGCTCCTTAAGCAGGGCCACTTTGAGTTGAATGAAGACATAGACTAGATGGCAGACAGATGAGCTGAGGCCTGCACTGGGACCTGGGTACCAAGATGTTCAGGGAAGCTGTACTCAAGGTCCATTGCATCTCACATGGAAGAGGTGAGACCACATCCTCTCAGCAGTGGAAAAGTCTATCGTATAGTATCAGTAAGATAGTTATATCCCTGAAGCCTTCCTATAAAAGAAATTCCCAGAGATTGTTATGATGGGCCAGTGATGGGCCCCAATGAAGGACTTCACTGAGGTGACTTGGGACTTTGACATGGGCAGATTAACCTGCCTTCCTAGATGAGCTCACTGCAGTACGCAGTGTCTCTTGCATCAGTCATCACCCACGTGTTTCCGAATTCCAGAAATTCTGTCTACTGTGTGCACCATGGATTTCACTGAGGGTGGGGACGTTAGGGGACTGTTTCACTGGGAGCTTGCAGCTGTCTTCTGGGCATCCTCCATTTAGTTATTCCCTGTTTTGTTGTTAGTTCACTAAGTTGTCTCTTATGGACTTTGAAGAGAAGTTCTCTGGAGTCAAGATGAATATTTGCTAGCAAAAGTCATCTTATAAGTAGTCAAGCACCATGGGAGGCACCCAGGACAGCACACGCACATCTGGCCTCATGTTAACAGCCAGGAACTGTTCTGTTAGGAGACTGATGATTCGAATTCTTTAAACACTAAAGATGATCCTATCGTGTTTAATTGAGAATCATTAAGTTTTCAGGAAGGAACAAAATGACAAAAGCTGTCATTTCTGTGAGCCTGTCAGTTAGCTGAAGTCATTGAAATCCAGCCAGGCACAAGGGTTAGGAAAACAGACTTTTCATCCAACACAAGGAAACAACCTAAAACTCCAGGCTTCAACACATGCCCAGCATGGAAAACCAGGTTCAGCACACTCACTCCCTTTTCCAAACATTTCCACTTACAACAATGAGTTTTTAATGCTCAATTCCTATTAGAATAATTTCTTTCATAAAATTCTTAAAGGACACTACCACATTGATGTCTAGAACTACAATAAAAATGGATCAAACTGTAAGATTTTGCAAATGCTGGAATCTGACCTGAATTGTATATGTCTTATTTCTCCTTAGAAAGCAAACATCAGAATGCTCGTCAGAGTAAGTCTAGAGTGTGTCAACCTGGATTTCAGCCCCAGTCCTCGATCTTTCTAGATCTGTAAGCTAAGCTGGGGTTAGTTCAACACCGTGCTTCAGTTGCTCTATCTTTAAAATAGCAGTACTGGGGTTAGAGGTACGCCTCAGTGGTTAAGAGCACTGGCTGTTCTTGTGGAAGACCTGGGTTTAATTCCCAGTACCCACATAGTGGCCACAACCATCTGTAACTCCAGTCCCAAGGGATCTGACACCCTTTCCTCTCTTCTGGCTTCTGCAAACAATGAACCAACATGGTGCACAGAAATGCATGCAAGCAAAACACCTATACACATTAAATAAGAATAAATATTTTAGCCGGGCGGTGGTGGCGCATGCCTTTAATCCCAGCACTCGGGAGGCAGAGGCAGGCGGATCTCTGTGAGTTCGAGGCCAGGCTGGACCGACAACCTCCAAAACAATACAGAGAAACCCTGTCTCGTAAAAACCTAAATAAATAAATAAATAAATAAATAAATAAATATTTTAAGTAATGGATGTACCTTTCTCATGCCAAGGAATAAAGGAATCGTATATATATGTGAGGCACAAAACAATGTGTGCCTTGTTATAATCAATGCCTCCTATAATTACTGATTCCCTCTTTCCCATTAAGTCAACCAACAGAAAAGAACTGAGTGTTTGCTTGTGCAACTAGACTAAGCATGGGCTGATGGAGCTCTGAAAGGTAGAGTCCACAGTGGACTCAAGAACCCTAAGGCCATGCAGCTTCCCCTCCATCAAAAACACAAGTGTAGACACAATGTTATTTCATGAACAGAATGGCTTCCAGCTGTGTATGATACTTTATATTCCTTTTGAAATTTCATTGTTTGTGTTGTTTCAGCCCTAAAGGCACAGTAAGTCTTGCACAGATGGTTCTGGGATTTTCCATCACTCTCTGTATGTCAACAGCAGTAAGTCTTGCCAAGGTTTGCCACACAGAGGGCAGGGAAAGTGCCCCTCACACTCAAAAGATGTGAATGGCAAGGACTCATCTTGTCCACTGAAGACATGACGGGATGCTCTAGTACAAATTGTACTTCGCCTGAGCTCCAAAGCTGTAATATTAATATGTGATCTACACTGAAAAGTCACCCAGGGTACAAGGGAACTTGGAGAAAGCTTGAACTTTCAATAAGCATGATACAAACCCTAGCCTTGGGACTCAACCCATTGAGCTACCCACCCATGATCTCTTTACCACTTCATCAAAAAACACAGAAGGTGTGGTGAGCATAGCTCCAAGGGTTTGCTGTAGCTACTGGTAACGAGCTGTGAATGTTCAAGGCTGCTTAAGAAGTGGCAGAGCATGAAAGTATCCATCAAGATGGTCTTTGTGTGCAGAATGATCAGAGACAATCCTGTGAATGAACGAGAGCCTAGCAGGAAAGGGGATCAGACACATCTCAGACACGCTGAACACTTTTCATTCACTCAAGGGCTGCTGTGGCAGCTGTCGACCTGTTATCTGTCTACTTGCTATGACTGCCCCTCCAGCACACACCTTCTGTGAGTATTCTTCTGAGTCTGGAGGCCTCCCTGTTATGCCCCAAATGTTGTGTGTCTTCCCCATGCTTCTGGATCTCTCCTCCTGCCATTCCTCTTACCCAGCTAAGGTCATGTGACACCCAAAATCAGACACCTCTTCCCAAAGAGGATGCTTTGGCAAGACTCACATCCACTGGTATCTGGGGTAGCTCTTCTGGATATACAGTCAAGACTCTGTAGCCCTTCGTGAGCCTTTGCTCATGACAAATGGATGTACACCTCCATCCCTCCCCCCAGCAGGTCACCTCCCCCAACCTCACCAACAGCCAACACTGAAAACTTAAGAAACTGGCTCACAGGATTCTTCTCTGCTCCAGCCCTGTTTTTAGTCTACCTTCATAATCCCAGCCCATTGTCTACTTTAAGATGAGTCTCTTTCTACTAAGCATCAAGGGACCCGGTACTGTTGAATCTTGAACTCCTACTGCCTTGGACTAGCCACAGGTCTCCCAGTCTACACTTCCTCAACTTCAGAAACTCAGAGGTGAGTACTGCATGTTCACATCCACCTGTCACTCAACTCTAAGAGTCATTGTCAGCTTCAGGAGCTCTCATAGCCCTGTAATCCAGAGTCCTTCCATATCTTCACTGCACTAACCAGCACGCTAAGCCTAGGATGTGGGACTCTTGCATATATACCCACAGAACTCTACAGTGGTATAGTCTACCATAAGTACATTCCTACTTTCTATATTTTCCATATTACCTCTTGCCCTATCTGGCCCCCCAAAGGTGAAGATTTAGCCTTTTTGCTAATGTTCCCAAATTTCTTAGCACAAGACTCAGAGGATAATGGCTGTGAACATTTTTCAACCAAGACATAAGCTAAATGTGACTTTGGAAGTTACACAAAACAGCAGAAGACCCAGCTCTCTATAATCGTTATAATTAACAAAATACAATGTTATAACATAGTAATTCCCTCTGATATAAAGCCTTTCATCTGAAAGAGAAGCCTGTTAAAACATAGGATTTTCTAAGGGGAAGTGAAACTTTCCATCCTGCAGGGAAGCTAACTGAACTTGGGAAGTAAACAACCCAAAGGCTTCAGGAAGTCCCTGAAACTGATCAGAATCACTAGGCATTTCCTTTCCCAAGAATCTACAAACAGTAAGGACCTTACTGAAAGATGGTTTGAGCCTGTTGAACTGCTTAGAAGAGGCTCAGATCAGTTGAGCTACCTGGAAGAAACAGAGACCCAGAGAAGGCACAGGACAACTTAGGTTCCTGGAAAGGACACTCCCTGACCTTCCAAGATGCCTGAAGGCTGTACAGTATGTTCCAGATTTCTGGATTCTATGGGCACTCGCCCATACCTAGTGGGCTTTGGTGATACAGCTGTCCTTGAGGTATTGCTGCTCTTCTAAGTAGCCCCTTACCCATTTCCCTTTGTGTGACCTTAATAAACACATTGATTCACCAAGTTGGACTTAGGTGGTATCTGTACTTTGGTTCGTCATTGGTTCCCTGTCAGGGGTGAACAAAGGTTTGTTCACATCTCTCCAGGAATAGTGACACACAACAAATGCCAACATCTATCAGAGAAATGTAAGAAATGTGATTTCTACAGAGATATATGTAGATGTTCAGAAGAAGACATTTGGTCAATGTCAATATAAATATAGGCTATATATATAAACAAAAATTAAGAAAAAGCATTAACAGTAAAAAAGACAAAAATTCTTTTTAACTAATACTGTTTCTTTGGCATATGAAGAATAAATATTAGTTCAAAGTTCCTTTCTTTTAAATGACCTAGAATTCATATAATAAGAGTTTACTATAACATCCTACTTAGTGGGATCCAGAGGACAAACAGAGAAATTCATAACTAAAGGTAACTAAGCACTCCTCACATCCAGAAGACAGAGCCTACACAATGAAGACCACTTGAACCTAGACAACAAAGACCACTTATATTCAGAGATACTGTCTTCAAGAATGTGATGACAAAGGGCTAGAAGGAATCACATAAGGAAATGAAATAGTCACTTTTCTCTGAGTTTACATTCTCTGATTAACCTGAGCTTCATGCTTATATTTTCCACCCTCTAAGAAAACAGAGAATAAGGGAGAAACAAACACTAAAACAACCAAAGTCGGCACAGCTTTCCACAGAAACGCCTTACCTGCATGAGTTTGGAATCATGGCCAGTATATACAACAACACCAAAGACCCACTGAGTGTTCCTGAGCTGGGTACCTCTCAGTAAGAGCTGGTCAGGCCCGAGGGCAACAGAGCTAAAAGTAAGAAAAACATTTGTACTTCTTAATAATGTGTCAAATAAGCATGCACTTTTCCCTTACACTAGCCTACAATAAGCCAAAGTCAAATTTGTGAATTTATTCTTTGCTTAATCTACCTACCCCACCCCAAATGTCTGCTCTATCCATTCTTCACTATAGAATAGGATGGGGTTTTTTTCCTATAAAATATCAGAGAGGATTATGCCTCATAATCCTGTTATGCAAGAATACTGACAAAGAGGAAGCTAAAAAGCCTGAAGCTTACTCATTTCTGAAAACCAATTTACTTTATAGACTATGAAAGGAAAAACAGCAGTAAACTCATACCGCATGGGGTAGTGAGTAGATGAGCATCTGAGGGATCATCTACAGGAGGGAAGCATGCTGACACCTGCACATGAAATGCCAACCAAGAAGCAGCTAGCCTTCTGCTTGCTTATCACACTGAACCTCTGCAGAGTCTCCCCTCCCCGCTTCCAGCTAAGGGTCTACTCAAAGTAGGGGGAAAAGCTCAGACAGTGGACTGTGGAGTATCAGCAGGTAGACTACATGTCAACATCACCACAAAAGATAACCTCAGACAATAAGTCATTCAACGTGTGTGTGTGTGTGTGTGTGTGTGTGCTCGCGTATGTGTGTATGTGATAACTATATGTTTGTGTATGTATACACATGTGGGAGCCAGAGGTCAACATCCTTTGTCTTTCTACCTTATTTTCAAAACATGCCTCTCACTCTCATTGATTCAGCTGGCTAGCCAATGGGCTTAAGGGGTCAGCCAATCTGCACTTCCCCAGCGCTGGCCTTGCTTTTATGTGGGCTGGGAGTCCAAACTAAGGTCCTCATGCATGCATAACAAGCATTTCAATGACTGTGCCATATTCACAGCCCCTTTCCACTCAACTTTCTAAAGACAAGCAGAGTTGTAGAGAGGCTTGCTGGCCTAGCATGTGCAAGGCCCATTTGCAATACACACACCAAAAAAATGACTGATATAGAAGCAATGCTTTTAGAAGACAACTAACAAGAAACCACATATCTGTCTCCCATGGGCAGTAAGCCGAATACACATCCAGTCCCTCTCTGCTGCCTTCCTGTGCCTTTTAATGCAACTTGGACTATTTGTTTGGCCTCCCTCACAGGTCACAAGCAAGAAAGAGTAAGCCACTTTCTACGAACCCCATGTGAGGTCTTTGACTTGTTTCAGTCTCTCAGTAATGAACTCAACATAAAGAAATCTCACTATTTTCAAATACTATGGAACCAGGATTTTTTTCAAGCTCCAGGTATTTTTGGCCACATTCAAAAAGTAGGAGGGTGAAAGAGGAGGAGAAAAGTTAGGAAAAGGAGATTTGGACCTCTTCCCATCCAAGTGCAAGTTGCCAGTGAAGTCGTAGAGGTGGCGATTGGGCCCTTCGCACTCAATCCTTCCCGACAGCTTCATCAGCACTTCCCTGGTCTGCATCTCAGCTGTGAGGCTCAAGCCCTGGAACAGAACGATGAACCAAGTGAGAAGATCAAGAAACTGCCGTCCGTGTTTAAGAGACAGCATGGCATTCTGTCAATCATGGGGACATAATGAGCCATCTGTCATGCAATAATTTGATAAGTCACATAGCACCCTCAAGACTGCACAGTTTGACACAAAGCTGTCAAGATTTCAATGGTGCAGAAGAGGAAGCCCCCCCAACCCCTGCTAGAAACAGCTATATTTAAATAATAGTCTGGGCACTGAACCACAGGACAGGAAACAGGGCTACCACCACCCTGCAACTCTGCTCAGACAGTCAGATAGAGGATCCTTTAATATTCTATAGCACACACCACTAGTTATTCTTAAAACTTTTTTTTGGCTTTTTGAGACAGGATTTCTCTGTAGCTTTGGAGGCTGTCCTGGAACTCGCTCTTTGTAGGCCAGGCTGGTCTTGAACTCATAGAGATCTGCCTGCCTCTACCTCCTGAGTGCTGGGATTGAAGGTGTGCACCGCCACTGCCTGGCTACTTAAAACTTTTAATACTTGATTCTGAATATTTCCTAACAAAATAGTTTGATGAACTTCTTCAGTGCTTCTCCAAACAGAAAAAAAATTACATCATAGGAAAAAGAAAAACATATGGACAGAAGATTAAATTCAATTTTTGAAGCAGGAAAAAACCCACAAGGGCCTTAAATGCTTGATATTTTTATTCATGAAAGACTATTCTTTATATTCTAAGACAATGTGTGATAAGAATTTTTTAATTTGTATCTATTTTGTGCTGAATTTATTTCTGTGTTATAGGGTTCTCTTTTTTTCCTGAAAAGAAATCCATTCTATATATGTGATCATGTTTTCTCCCATCCCCCAATCCTCCCTGTGCCATCGACTTTGTTCTCAGTTTCTCCTAGGATGTCTTTTACTTCTGTGCAGCTTCCTCTTCTGAATTCGGAACAATGGTTCCTTTTCAGTGGAGATCAGCCTGGTGTGCCAGGCAGCCCATCAGGGTTAACTCAACCCAGAGTACCAGAGATGTGGTGGCCCATCTGGAGATTGTCAATGACTACAGAGTCTACATCTAAACTGTCACTGCAGGAGGTCATCATTGACTACAGAGTCTACATCTAAACTTTCATTGCAGGAGATCCTCATTGACTACAGGGTCTGCATCGAAACTTCCACTGCAGGAGATCCTCATTGACTACAGAGTCTGCACCTAAACTTCTGTTGCAAGTTACTCTGCATTCTTCAGCACGTGCTGTGGAAACTTGGCGACAGAGCCTACTGTTTGACCTGGACACACCTATCAGCCTCACCATTGTGACATCTAAATATCACAGGTTGCTTCTTTAAACATCGTTCAGATACTTTGTAGCTTTCAACTATGCAGATTCTTGGTGGCCTGGACAGTTTCCTAAGTGTCCTTAAGATGAATGCAAAGATATGAACCTCTTTTTTTGCATGGTTTATAAGGTTTGGGGGGGCAAGGTGGTAGTGAACCATTGGCTTCCAGGAAGAGTAGTAGGAATGGTTTAGGGTATGGAAACAGTGTATCTATTGCTTGGCCCTCCACTATTAGAATAGTAGCTCTAACCTCAATGTGGGCTGAGGCACCTGGATCTTCCTACTCCACAAGCCCAGACAGTTGCTTTCTTCCCACTGCCCAGCTCAGCCTGCTGAGAACACCCCTGTACTGAGCACTGTGGGCAAAGCTTACAAATGAGCCATGATACACTGAGATGATGAAAATCACCTAAGTTTGCTAGCCTCCTCAGCAAGCTCCCCTCATAACTGAAGGTACAGTCTTCTGTAGCTTCTACTAGGGTTTAACATATTGTTCATGGCCGAACAACATTTTCTCTACAAGGTGCATGGGGGATATTTGTATCATGTATTTGCAGCCTGACCTCCTGTAACGATGTGAGTCATCAGGAAGTGACTTTACCTGTCGTATTTTAAGGTTTGTCTCCCCATCCAGGTTAGCGGTTTCAACATAGCACATCCCCTGAGGCTCACTATGAGGAAGGGGAAAGGCCAAGGTTAGTACCGTCCTCTCCACACGAAACCCCTGATGTGGAAACTGTTTGCTGGTCACCCTTCAAATACACCATTATAAACACTGCCCCAGTAACACAGCTGATGAGAGAGGAAGCTATACACTCATCTTTGGCACTCAACACCAGCAATCCGGTTTCACCTCCATGTGCTTGGTCTTGACGGGGCAGTGACGGAGAACGGGTGAGAAGGGGCAGGCCTTTGTACTAGAATGGGAATAAAACCCACCCACGAGGTGGGGTGATTCTCAAAGGCTGGGGACCCAGCACAAACATATCCTTTGAAGAAAATTAGCACCATGGGAGATAAAAGAAAAGGCCCAAACCGAGCAGTCCTTTGTTTCCCTACATGTGCCACACTGTCAAGAGCACTTCTTCAGTCAATTTTTAGAAGAGGGTAAAGGCGATCACAGTGTAACATTATCCTCCCATCTCCAGCCTCTGGTTTAAGTGATTGAGTAGAGGCAGTGGTTGAGAAATGACTCTCTGACCCATTGGCTGAGTTTAAACCCCCTGGTGCTATTCTAGGGGCCATGTGACTTAGGAAAGATGCTTAAGCTCTTTGTGCCTTGGTTCTCTCATGTGCTTATATGGAAGTTATTAGGGGTTAAAATCCACCGATCAGACTGCTCACAAAAAAACCACCCACTCAGATACAAGGAGCAACTCAAAGCCGCGACCGGCATAGCAAACCACCTATGGTAAGCCAGCTTACCTGAGGGTCACGGCCAAGTTTCCTGGCCCGAACTGACAACTGACACATATTCTAATAGTTTCTTCATTACTATTGAATAGTGTCAATGAATCAGACCCCTTGTTTATGGCTCCTTCCCCCTCCATTGCTCTGCTTCGGTCCTATCTTTAAAACTTTTATCCCTTGTTTTCCAACATGGGATAAATCCAACCCAAGAAACAATGCTGCAGTCCAAGAAAATGCAAACTGCCTGAGCACCTGCATTTCCCAGTGGCAATAAATAGAGGGGTTATGGTCTTAATAGTGCATAGTATAACTTGAAGGTCTCTGTTACCCTGGATTTGGCTTTCCTTCTTTGCAGTAAGTGCTCTACACATGAAGCCAAGAAGCTCAAGGGTGGCGGTACCCAAGCCTGCACATCCCTGTGTGGTGATGACTCTTTCTAGCACAAAACTCCCCAGAGTGAGGCAACTGTTTGGGGCAAGAGTGAAGAGCAGGGTCACCTGCAGGTTGTGTCTCTGCTAAGAAAATGCCTCAGATTCTCAGAACAGTTCACAGCCAGCGAGGGCTAGAGGACAGACAGACTGCTGGAGGGACTGACCAAGGAAGGGTTGGAGTCTCAGCTACGCTGACTCCTGGGTGTCACTGAACATTCACTCCCTTTAATCAGTATCTTGACCAGTGATTAATACCCTAGAATTGCTGGGAGCTAAATCAGTCAATACCAGCGAAAGGGTTCTAAAAACCTACGGGAATGAATAGGAGACAAAACAAAACAAAAAGGCAACAGTTAAGGTCACAGCAGGAGAAGGCAACTGGCACAGGTCCAGGCTGAGGATCCCTAGCTTACCCAAAATGCTTGAGGTTAGAAGTACTCCCAACTTACCACTATTTGGACTGCTACATGTTTGCATAGGCTTTAACAACTGAACATCTCAAATCTCAACATCTCAAATTCAAAATGCCCCCCAAACCCAAACTATAGTGCATCAAGGATACTCAGCTTGTGGAGGAGGAGAGCTCATGGGATAGAAGAGCAAAGATGAATCAAGATTTCTGCAGTTCATTTGGTACTTTATTGTCCTTAACATTCATTCCAAAACCTGTGCCCACAGGCACACCTGACCTGGAGGAGAAGAGGACCATGTCTGCTGGAAGATACTGGCCATTGAGGACCTTCACGATGTCTCCCACTGCCACCTAGAGACCAGGGACAGGACAGAAGGCATGAAAGAAAAGAAAGTACACATGTGATAAGGGCGGTTAAATACGTGAAGAAGAAAGTTAGTACGTAACTAAGCCACACCTTACAAGACAAAGGGCAGATGTTTCCACTGTGCCACAGCTGGCCTCCATACCCACAAACTACACACCTATGAGTTCAACCAACTGCAAATGCAAAATATTCTCACAGAGAAGTCATCTGCCCCAGAGTGGTGGTGCACACCTGGAATCGCAGCACTTGTGGTTTTGAGGCCAGCCTGAGATGCACAGTGAAACCTTGTCTCAACAGAACAAAACAAAGAGAAGCAGTATCATCAAAAAGTGAAATCAAAAGCTGCCTGTGTGTTGAGCGTCAGACTATTTCCCTGGCATTGACCCCTAAGCTGCACACCATAGCTCTGTTTCCATGGCATTTCCATTGCATTGGGTTTTACATTCATGGGAGGACATCACACACACGTTCTATGCAAATGCGTCTTTATTTTATATATATTTTTTTCTTTTTTGGTTTTTACGAGACAGGGTTTCTCTGTATTGTTTCAGAGGCTTTGGTCCAGCCCAGCTTCAAACTCACAGAGATCTGCCTGCCTCTGCCTCCTGAGTGCTGGGATTAAAGGCGTGCACCACCACCGCCCAGCAGCAAATGAGTCTTTATTTTATATAAAGGACTTGAAAATTTATACACTTTGGCATCTGTTGTTATCAACCTGGAACTAGTCCCTACAGAGACATGACCACATTGCATTTTTTTAGTTTTAAGATAGCTTTTGTGTATCTGTGTGTGTGTGTGTGTGTGCATGTGTGCGCGCGCGCACGCATGCATATATATGCACCTAAGTTTAGGTGCCTGTGGAGAAGAGTGTGTCAGAGTTCCTAGGGCTGGAGTTACAGGTAGTCCTGAACCACTGGATGTGGGTTGTGCTCACTTAACCACTGAGCCAACCCTCTGGCCCCATTATTGCAATTTTACGATGGTATTTCCTGAAACAGATTGAGAAGGGGAAGAGTTGGACAAGTATTAAGACCACATTTTCTTCCAAGTATCTGCCCATTTCAAATACTCAATCATCTCAATAGTTGCTCATGGTAAAGGTGTTATACTTGTAGCTCTGAAGATGGTCTGTGCAACTGGATTTGAGTTCCTCTCTAGCTCCCTGAGCAGCTGTGTAACCATGAGAAAGCTATGGAAAGTGTGTTCCTTACTTTGTCAACAGCACACATCTCATGGGACTGATGATGAGATCAACTAAGCAAGGCAGCTAAATTCTCCTGCTTTATAAATGGAGACACTGAGCCTGAAAGCAAAATAACTGACCAAGATCACGCAGCCATGGTGTTACAGCCATTATTCATTTTTAAATTTTATTATTGTTGTGTGTGCACTGCATGGCGCATGTGTGAAGGTCAGAGGACAACCTCGGGTATGAGCCCTCACCTTCCATCTTGTTCTGAGACAGGATCTTTCTGTTGTTTGTCCCTATGCTGCACAGTCCAAGCTAGCTGGCCCATAAGATTCCAAGAGACTCCTTCTGTTCCTGCTGCCCATGTGGTCATAGGAGCTCTGGGATCACAGACACATGCCACCACTTCTGGCTTTGACACAGGTTTTGAGGATCTGAACTCAGGCTGTCAATATTCCATGGCAAGTGCTTTACCCACGGGTCTAGTTCTCCATACAGTCATAATTTAAAAGCGGGCAACCTGCCCGGAAGGCTAGTATAGTGCACCAATTAGAAAGTAGCATTGCTTTCTCTGAACAGTGTGTTTTGAAAGGCTGCTCAATTTGAAAGTGGACATCATCACTGGGTGGGTAGCACATAATGTTTAGTTTTTTTAAGTGCGTGTGTGTGTGTGTGTGTGTGTGTGTGTGTGTGTCTGTAAGAGAGAGATGTGTGTGTGTGTCACAGTGAGTATGAGACAGATAGACAAAGAGAACATGAGTATGAGCATATATGTCACGGTGCATGTGTGGAGGTCAGAGGGCAATCCCCAGGAGTTATCTCCTTGTACCCTGTGACTTCTAGGGATGGAACCCAGGCTGACAGTAAGCACCTTTACCTACTGAGCCACCTCACTGGCCTCCACTTATTTTTGAGGCTAAGAAGTGAATACAGCTCCACGGCTTACGGCATGAAACAGGTGGATAAGCATGGTTTCCCTTTGGGGGGGGTTGGTGTAACTTAATGGATTGCGTCAGTAGAATTCACTGATGACCAAGAGAAATAGTTCCTCGTGCACAGAAGGTTCAGAGAACAGAAGAGGCGCTGTGGCTTTCCGCTCCTACTCTACTCGTATTATGATGAATTTCAAAAGCTACACTCGTGGAAACAACTGGATCACACAGACCAGCAGGTACCACATAACTTTCCTTGAGGGGCTGGAGGTGTCACTAGTAGAGCATTTACCCAGCAGAAGGCCCAGATACATCGCTAATATCACCATCACCACTAAACTCACTTTTTCTGTTGGGAAATGGGAGGGATTTGAACAGAAGAATGCTTATCAAAGTGTGACCAGGGTCAGCATAGACGAGACCAGCAAAAGTTAAAATCCAAACCCCTGGGTCACTTGAAATTAGCATCAAATCACAAGTGAGTCTGTGATCTGAAGGCAGAAGAAAGACACAAACCAAAGCAGATTCCATAATTACACAGAGCAAATAGGGGATGTTCATGAACACTGAAGATGCTTTTAAGTAGAAATATCTTACATAAATAGTTGAGAAAAAGAAGGAGCAATTAATAAAAACTAGAAAGAAAAATGAGCCCTTTTACAAAGAAGTGGACTCTTTCCCTTTAATTCAAAATGAGAGGACACGTGAGATGGTGTTCTCTCATCTCTAAGGGGCACTTGCTTTCCAGGAACCGAGTGCTAAGAGGTTTCAACTACAATGAGAGGCTGCAGACTCAGAGCTGAAGATGGTTTCTGTCTGGGTGTCCTTACACATGATCAACCATTCCAGGTGTGTGTGCTATTTGCTAAAAGAATTAGTACAGTGAGCAAAACTGTTCTGGGTCCCTGGATTCACTGCAGCCTTGAAAGGTCTCTCCTGTGTCTCAGTTGTAAACAGCTAAAGGACTCTCTTCAGTTGATCCCACTATTGAGATCTTCCTGTCGGAGATTACCAGGGTCAAGCAGAGCCCAGGGACTGCTGTTACAAATGTGACATGTTCACAGGAGTGGAGCTATGTGCAGCTCTCCAGGATACCCCTGTGTTTCCTGCCCTTTCTTGAACATCTTTTCATGACCCTCTATCAAACTTGCCAGGTGTGTTGTGCTGACACGAGCTGCCCACATCGCCAGCAGTAGCCTCACTGTGAACTTAAAACGGGAACTCTAAACCATCTATATCAGGAATTCTAGGAGTAGGGCACATGTGTGCTTGACCAGGGCTGAGTACCAAGGATGGTCCGCTTGGTGGAGGACAGCTGCACAAGAAGACTCCAGCCTGAACTTGATGCTTAGCAGTTTCTGGCCTCTGCTAACAGACCCTCTTTAGACGGCTCACCACAATGCACTGAAGTTTGAAATAGCAATGGATCCAACCAGGCCTATAACAAGGTGGTGATGTCCCAAGCACCTTTGGGAGCAGGAAGGAACTCTGGGTGCCAATAAGGCCACCAGCTCTCAGACTCAGAAATCATTGGCCAACACTCTAGGTCCCACTACTACTTCCAGTGGTGTCAAGACACTTGGATGCAAGTCATTTTTCATCTGGCCACTGCTTGTGCCTCTCTGAGGATGGAGCATCCAGAAGGCCCCTGGAGAAATGGAGGAGCTATGAAGACTCTCCACTTTCCACTGCACGGGTACCAGTTCTCCCTGCAAATTCTGATCAAGAACCATCACACTGAACTTCCAAACTTCAGGAGGCCAAGGAGGCCACAAGGGTCCCAGCGTCCCACAAAACACTAAAAAAGAGTTTTCTGGAAAGTGTAGATGGTTTTCCTGAACCGGGTAGAATCAAATGAGAACCACAGTGAGAGCTATAGGCACACTGGAAGCATCGTTTCCCACACAAAGGGCCACGGGGGGCACTTGCTGTAACTTAGATATTTAAGCAAGAAACAATACTTGAAGCTGCCCTTCAAAAAGTTTTCTTTTTCAAAACAAAACAAAAACAACAAAAACCCATCAGTTTTGAATGCCAGAATGATTGTCATCTCTAAAATTAATACTGTGTCCACCAACAAGGCCCGGCTAAGACAGCCATATAGAAAGCTAGCTTTTCTGATACAAAACACCAAGATAGCACAGTTGATTTCAGCCAACAACCAGCAGCATCTTTCCTCCGTGAACTCAGCTCTCACACTGCCAGTGGCAGGGAGGGAAACCCCTCTAGCTAGCTATGAGGATAAAAGCAGCCGCTGGCTCCACACCCTGCCTGGGAACCCTGCTCACACTCGGACGTCTTTCTGCCAAACACATCTGAAGTGAGGCTCTCAGAAGGTAAAAGACAACAGCTCTGAATTTTTGAATATAGATGAAGAGAAGACAGGAGATGGAACTGTTTCTCACATGGGGTTTAGAAACTAAGTGCTGTGAGGTTCCAGAACTATCCTTGGAGAATAAGGGCATTCATAGTTTGAACACTAGGTTCTTACAGAAGAGGTCAGAAAGGGGAAGCCCATGTCAGTTCTCATGGGAAAGCAGACCACACGAGAAAACTCAAAGAAAGTGGGCGCGGCCTCGGTCTTCCAGCACATTTTACATTGTCATCAGATCAGTATTTTCTGGCATTATCTTTAAAGCTGACCCTCACCTCTTTCCACATGATGGTATGCCACATGCCATTTCTTAGCACTGCAAAAGTAGAAATGAACTTGTTAGTGCTGTTGAGACTCCAAATAAAGCATCAGCCTTCTACAGACTCAACGGCTTCCCGTGAAACATGTACTTATTCATCCTAACAAATCATATCCTTGGCAGAACAATAGTTGGTCAACCATGCTGATATGGGCCTCCACATGTGTACCTCTACAACATATGTTAATGTGCCCATGTAAGCAAGCCAAATTTTTCTCCTTTTTTATTTAAGTTGGAAACTTAAACACTTGTTTCACATGTCAGTCCCAGCTCCCTCTCCCTCCCCTGCTCCCCTGCCCCTCCCCACCAGGTCGCCCACCCAACCTCCACTCTGATCCCCAGGGAGGGTGAGGTCCTCCATGGTGGATCTCCAGAGTCTGTCAGCAAATCAAATTTATATTTATCCCAGGAGTAAAAAAGGCTCAGTGTTACATAATTCCAACAGCAGCAGCAGCAACAACAACAACAAAAAACCTAAAGTGGTATAAAACCAAAATAACAAGGAAAGTAATGAACCATGGCTGTGGACCCATGAAACTTTTAGGGACTAATAAACTAATTTCTGAAAATCCTGTTCCAGAGTATACAAATCTCATTGATATAAAGACTAACATTTGATTTTAGCCCTCTTCTATCTCTTTAAAGATTTTACAGATAATGTTCCCAATTTAATCTCAGTATCAATAGCCATGGTCAAACATCATTGAAGCACGGGACTGGTTCCTAAATTAACAATGGAAAGAGTGACTGAGCTCAGCAGCTTACCTATTGTTTTCTTCTTGTTAACTGCGCTGTCTGCCTTATGTCGTTTCTGTTACAGGAAAAAAAAGCAACAGTTCTTACATTCAAATGTTCCAAATGAATAATTGAAATGGAAAGCAGTAAAATCAGAGGGTAATGGGGACCAGGAACCCTATGATGCTAATACTGTAGATTTAAGCGGGTGGTTTGCCATCTGTCAGGGACAGCCAGAAACAATGACTTGGTATTATAAGCCCAACAACAAAAAGCAGGTTTCACTCTCAAGTTAATTTACTATGTATTCCATGAAATGTATATATGGGAGGAACTCTGTGTGTGTGTGTGTGTGTGTGTGTGTGTGTGTGTGTGTGTGTGTGTGTGTGTGTGTGTGCGCGCGCGTACACAAACCAGAGAGATAATGGCAATGTGGTAGTAGCCAGTGAGGGGTGAGGGAAGCCTGAGGATGAAGATTCTTGGAGAATTACTTCAGGCATAACAGGCACCATGTTGCTTGCAGAGAGCACTAATTAAAGGCTTCATGTGATAACCTGAATTCAGGAGCTCTAAGGTAGGATACAAGGACTAATACAGATGAACACCAGCCAAGTTCTAAGAAAATGACCCAGAACATAGAAGTGCCTCAGAACCATTGCACAGGCACTTAGGACTCTTGAAACATATCTTCCTCCCCAGCAAACACCACCATTCCCCTAGCAGCTGGTTGAGCTGTAGCCATTTCCTGTTATAAGCACATCACCCAGTCACATACACCTCAAATGTCATAATACTATGTTTTAGTATGCAGAGTCAAAAACTTACAAAATCTTCTACAATCTCTTTGATGCCTGCAATTGTTAAAATGATGATCAATGGCACCAGGGTGGTGTATCGTCCTGTTGGCGATACGTCTGGAATTTGCTGTAAGAGAACACAAGGGAGAATATGGCACATAGATGTCTCCACAAAGAATGAAAACATGGCACTCAACCCTCGCTCTTACTAGTCTGGTCTATTTCCGTTATACAATAAAAGGTCCACTAATTCAAAAACTACCTATGGAGTTTACATTTGAAGTTTTTCTAACACAGCCATGTGTTTGGAAAATGGGTTAGAAGTATGGCCTTCCAGGACAGCCTCCAAAGCCACAGAGAAACCCTGTCTTAAAAAAAAAAGTATGACCTTCATGGCCAAAATACATACATGGTATATATGTTTAAAGTATCACAATGGAATACAGTATCCAGTAGAATGAATATGTATTAACAAAAAAAGGAAAAATGAACATGACAAAGTATGCCCCATGAGAACCAGTTCCTCCTCCTCTTTTAGTAACTACTTTTTTCCAGGAATTCCCTCCCAAGTCTGTTCTAGACAAAGATCATGTCTGTTCACTCTAGTGATAATTTGATAAGGAAACCATCTGCAAATATTCCAACACTTTCCCAATAAAGATATTTGCTGGTAAAATCTCATTTTGCACATAGCTGAGTTTGCAAATTTTAAGCACTTAAAAAAAAAACCCTTACCTGTAATAAGGCAATGAAGAGGAAGAAGGCATTAGCAGCTCTCCTAATCTGCTCATACAAGAATCGAGGTAGAAATGTCAACACGCTGTACTTGGCCGTACTGAAAGAACAAAGGGAAGTACTACTATTAGCTAAAGAGGTAGCCCTTAAATGACAACAAAGTGGCCCCAACAGCATGTCCTGTGTAAGAGGCACAGCCGACCAGAGAAGCTTCTGGTATGATTCCAGTTAAAACTTTGTTATGCACATTCAACCTTCCCAGGTGGTGATCAGGCGTTTACCCCCATCTGGGAGCCACATGCTAAGAATAACAAGGGCAACACCCGTGTATAGCAGTTCAGTGAGCCCCTGTACACATGATACACTGTGTATCTCGCACCCACACCTGAAGAGTTTCCACTCCGCGCCCCCACAAGCACCCTTCACTTGGCAGCCTTTGCTCAGACTCTGGCTTCAACTGGCAGCCATCTCCCTTTACCCTGCAGCTTTTTAATGAGTGATCCATCTCATATCTCACCCCAGTTACATCTTATATTATAATTGGTCAAATATCATGTTGCCTCTACTTTGATTCATACACCAGTCCTCTGCATTCATAGGTTAAAAAAAATACTTGAAAGGAAGGAAACTGTATCTGTAATGAACACATACAGGCTTTTTTGTTATGATCCCCTAATCAGCATACTATCATTATGATTCCCATAGCATTTATATTGCACCAAGATATAATCTAATCATCCTCCAGATACAATCCAAATCTATGGGGGGAGGTGTCTTGGTTCTATGTACAAGCAATTCCATTTGTAGAAATGACTAACATCCACGGATTTTTATACCTCAGGGGGTCTTGGATAAATCCTACATGGATACTGAGGAATGGCACTATCTATTTCTCTGTCCCCATAACAGATTACTGGAACAAGGAGAATGTGCACTTCACCTATGTTTGTTCCCCACCTATAGGACATAGCAGTCAATGAACAAAGAAATAAATTGAATCAAAGACACAAACTAAGAGCCTGGGTGACCCCAAGCCTACTTCCCAAAGCAAGACCTTAAGCCCATTATTTCCTTTATTTGGTTATATTTATGTATTGTTTATTTTGGTTGGTTTTGGTTTTTGAAACAGGGTCTCATGTTGCCCAGGATAGCCTCAAATTCACTATGTAGCTAAGGGTGACCTTGAGTTCCTGATCCTCCTGCCTCCACCTCTCAAGAGCTGAGTGTTGGGGTTGTAGGTTCTAAGCCTGTCCTTAGATATAGTCTAGCAGGGTCGCCTAGCTGGTTTCAAATGCACACAGCAGAAGAATCAAAGCAGAGGGCCAAAGCCCAAGAGATAGCATATACCACAGGATGATGCGGACTGCAGCAGCACCTGACAGCAACCGAGGCCAGAGCAACAGAGAAAACCCAGGCTGGCAATGCAGAGTTACAGCACATGCTTACCTCCCGGGTTCCCAGAGGGAAGACACGGAGAAAAGAACTGGTGGTTGAAAGCAACTATCAGTTAAAAAAAAAAACACAAAAGCTCACATCTATAAAACTTCAGAAAGCATCTTGTAAGATGGACCAATTCTACATTAGAACCTAAATCTCCACCTGTGTGCTAAGAGCTCATGCACACACAGAAGGATTCTGAGTCTGTTTAAGGAGCCCACACCATGAAGGTGGAGAGCTGGGAAGGACAGGAGGCCTAGTTATACTGATAAAAACAAAGGAAATATGCACCAAATGGAAGTAAAATACATAAGCCAAACATTTTGTCCTGAGGTAGAATGAGGAGGGCCAGCTACCCAATCCTCTGGGAGAAGACCACTGTAATGGTGTTAAATATGATAGTTTATAAAGTCATGTATATTAACACTCAACACACACTTGCCTCTCAGGTGCACAGGGGAGATATTCTAGGTCCCTCTGCAGACAGCCAATTCAGCTACCACGTGAGGCCAGTGCTGTTGGTCCAGGGACCATGCCTGGAGCAGTGGGACTTTAGAGGAGCTCATGAGGAAGCAAGGTAGCTCATACTTCCCACCTGAATTTTGTCCAGCTGTGGAATCCATGCTGTAAGACTTTACAGAGTGGCAGGTGTTTTAGCAGCCACATAGCAGGAGAAAGACCAGCTATTATGCTGAACATGCAAATGAAGAAGGCACCATGCCCACGCACCACTGTTCACAGGAAGAAAGGGGGAGGGGGCTGGATGCTTGTGAGAGTGACTATTCGGCAAGCAGTAGGACCTGAGAACTGGGGCGAAATGACCCCAAGGAAAGAGTTTACTGCTGGTCACCAAGTCTCTCCTTACATAATGTGTGCCATGAGGCCCATTGTGGGGCTGAGGTCCAAGCGTGGTCCTGAGCTCAGGTACCTGGTTGTGAAGGTGCACACACTGGGGCCTGGTGATTTCCCTCCAGTACAAAAGCTTTCAATATTTTTCAGGAGAGAACAAGATTATTTTCAAATTGAAGTGCTTAATTCTAACTGAAATACTGTTAGTGTCCCATATACACACAGGATTATGCATAAAGGCAAAGTATGCAGTCTGAATTCTCATACCAATGAATATTCTCATAGACAAAAGTTGCTCTCAGCCTTAAAGAGAGAAGCCTTCCTGATAGTGAACAGTGTCAGACTTGTGGCTGACCAAGATGCTGAGAATAAGTGGCAGCCATGAGCTCACCCCAAAAGAAGACATTTCACCACCCCCTCTAAGGCTCAGGGAACCCTGCAGAAGAGGAGGCCGGAAGTGAGTGAGAGCTGGGAGATAAGAGTCGAAGAGCTGTGGAAGGCTGTCCTCTGGACCAGTGGTCCTCAACCTGTGGGTTGCAACCCTTTGGGGGTTGCATATCAGACATTTGCATTACGATACACAACAGTAGCAAAATTACAGTTATGAGGTAGCAACAAAATAATATTATGGTTGGGAGCACCACAACATGAGGAACTGTATTAAAGGGTCACAGCATCAGGAAGGCTGAGAAGCACTGCTCTAGACTCACACAACCACGGCAATCATTAGCTCACAACAACCATGCTCTCTCACACTGGGTCACATGGCAAACATCAGTCACTGAAGCGGGAGGGGCTCACAGGGCCCTAATATTTCCTACTGAAGTGCTGGTTGTTGACAGATTCTGGAAGAGAATCACTGCCTTGAGTTGTGTCCTAATTGCCCTGGCTAACCTCAGCAGTTCATAAACAAAACAAGTAGACATGAACATGGAGTCATTTGTGGAGAGGGGTGTAGGAGAGCACTGCTGGAAATGACCACGAAATGAGCTGAAAGCCAGCACGTGGGTTATTGTGTGCATGCAATGGGACCAGGGACATCAGTTCTGAAACTGAGCTCCATATTCAGTTAATCAGCTTTTTTTTAACGCCCTCTCTTGTCCCCCTTAGCAATCCAGAGTGACATATATTTTGATTGGATAACTAAGTTTGCTTAAAAGAATTTGCCTAAGTACCCTATATAAACAGAAAATTTCCTCCAAACAGCAGAATGTACCATTTATAGAGCAGAGTGAAGGGAGGAGGAATTTAGTTACACACAAGTCATAGTGAGACACTACAAAGGTGCTAGACTGTTGCAAATGTTTATAATTATAGTATAACAAATGTTTCCTAAAGACACAAAACTATAAAAAAGAACATATTTGCAGACGGGAAAAATCAATTAGACATTGGACTTCTGGCTAGCAACACAGACAGCTATAGAAAGACACTCGAGATTTTTATACCCAGTCAAACTGCAATGTATTCTTCACATCCACTTTTTTTTTTAGGAAGCTCCTTACTGTACCTGGGGCATCAACAAAACTGGATAGCAATTATTGTCTTACTAAATCGTTGCACACTACATATGCATTGAAGAATCCCAGCGAACACCATCAATGTATAAGTATTACATGCAATTACTTTTTTAAAAGAAAGGAAACATATATTGCAACCAAAATGTGGGCCTATAATTCAGGAAGGTTCTGGGGTGAACACTTTACAACACAGCTACAGAGTGGGGAGCTCCCTAGTGTAGACATAGAAACTATTTGACAGGATTATTTCCAAAATATAGAGAATAATCAGTGGGAAGCTTAGCACTAGGGGCTCCCCTAGCATGCCAAGGATCAGGTTCAATGCCTAGCACTGGAAAAAACAAAACGAAATACAAATATAGAGAGGTTGAATAGTATAAATGTAGAGATTAATATGCAAAAGCTATTTAAGCTGAAAGGTGAGGAGGGAAAACAAGTTGTACTAAAAAAGAAGCAGCCATGATTGATCCACCACTTCACCATTTAGCCCCAAGGTTGGTAAGTTAAAGAAGTTCAGGAAGACAATCTCTAAACTTAATGTTAAATTAGAGTGAAGGACTGTGTAGTTCAGAGGCAGAATACTTCCCTACCACATGTAAGACTTTGGATCCCATCCCCAGAACAATGATGATAATATACATACACTCAAATACATACATTCACATACGTGCATGAAAACTGCTTCTCCCTCCCATCCCCGCCCCCACAGCCACTGCCACCCCACCCCCTGATTTGAAATGTGGTAGAATGCAACAGGAGACAGAATGCAACAGAACTCTTGACAGAGTCCAAAGTCGTTGTTTCCAGTAGAGTATTCCAGAATGGAGAGAAGGGGTTGGACATTATTTGTGGAGTTTCATGACTATTTGAACGTTTAGCCACCTGTATATATTGTTTGCATAATAATTTATATCATGTGAAAAATTTAGGCATATTCAGATAGAACTGGAAGGAACAGTTATTCTTTGGAGGTAATTTTAGAATGACCACACATTAGGAGATGTTTATTAGATGATGTTGGCCTAGAGATCTAACTTGTTCTTCTATTACCCCCACCACAGAATGGTCTGGCAACCCCTCTTGTCTGATACTGCACCCAACAACCACTCCCTCTGTCCGGCAGCCAGGGAGGAGCCCCAGGATCATGGTGGGAGGAGGAGAATTCTGTCCTGTCCCACAAAAGCCTGACAAGCATTAGGGTTCTGATACACGTATGGATAAACTCTCTTATGATCCTGCTTGGAGATGAGCACTAGGCTCTCTTCCCTGCTACTCCCTCCCACCCCCGCCCCCA